AGTTTGCAAATGATAGGTAAATTAGAAACAAGTCTTGATTGAATGGTCACAAAATACCTTCTTGCAGTAATAATGGTAAAGCCAGTATTGGTAGAACTGCATCTTTGAGTGAGTGAGTTAACATTTAACGTCACTTCGGCAATATTTCAGCCATATAGTGACGAGAAATGTTGTACATACACAATAAATACAAGTAGTTAAATAACCAGTAATCGACGGACTGTAAAATAACTAGAGTATCACAAAAGAGTTAAAACTAGCTAGCCTCACAGGGGGTTAAAGTACTGTAAAACTATTGTCCTCCTGAGAGGGTAAGTAAGTCCCAAAACTTTCAAAGTCTATTCAGATCTACACACTTTTTTAATCGTAGAATATTTGTTGTTTTATTATGGCTAACTATCAGCACAATCGCCAGTGGCTGAAGGGATGGTATAAATCCAGCTAGGGTCCATGCAGGTAGCCAAAGTACTGTAAGTCCCCATGGTCCCTAGAGTGGTGATCTACCTTCAGTTGTTGGCGATCCTCAGCCTTTTCATATTGTATTGTCCTAATCTGAAATCCTATTTTAGAGATATATGCTAGTTTTATTTCTTGATATTGTGATATTCTAGTCGGGTTTACTGACCTTCGATGACAGGTTTATATAATTTACCATAAAGTACTATGTATAACAATTAAATGTTCTCGTCACGATATGGTTGAAATATTGCCAATAAATTATAACTCACTCACTCACTAAAACTAGCTAGCATGTATTTTTAAAACTAGGAAACTATTTTAGACAATACAATGTAAAAATGAAGGTAGATCACCATACTAGGGACCATGGACTGCATCTTTGAGAAACTTTTAGAACGACTGACCACTGTCATGTCTGACGACCAAAGAAGGACAGATAATTCGAGTTCTATACAGGACCATTCTTGCTTATTGACTGCTGTTCATATCTGACCAAGACAGCATATGGGTATTTCTTACTAGTAGTTCCATCAATCATAACAAATACATGTCTTATTTCACAGACTTACACTTACTTAAACTTATCAATGAATATAATATTTAAGCCAATGTGAACAGGCCTGACGAAAGTATTGTAACCGTATCTGACACTAGAGGTCAGGGCCCCGATCCACAAAGCGTTCTTAACGTTACGACCTGTCGTAACTCTGTAGTTTGTCAAAGGCTTACGAATGTCATAGCGCTACGAAAGCTTTGTGGATGGGGAACCAGTAGCACAATATAAGATACAAGTTTCAGGTACCATTCATACCTCATGACAAATAATGATGATAAAGAACAGCGTTTATTTTAGAACAGACAATCAGATATCTCGGTCACACAGAATATGTGTTTCTTGTTTAACCAACACAGAATGGTCGCTCCTAATGCTATAATAACATCGTCGCTCTTCCATATATCTTATCCTTACTCAGTACGCCAACCTTAAATTCCCCTCAAATTAGTAATGCTCGTTCTTTTATAAGGTGTTATGAGAGTGTGTTTTTGTAAGTTGTAACTGCAATATCACATTGATTAGGTGATAGGTATTATTGGTCACAATGTTTAAAGTTTTGGGTGTGGGTGGTGGCTCACAGCTGCCTCATGTATGTTCAATGGCAATAGTATTTTTTAGCCTTTTTGATAAGGCTCGAGAGTTGCCCCCCTTGGCTTTATTTTGTTTTTGACTTCCGGTCGTATGTTCGAGAAAGTCGCCTAATGTTCTGAGTGGATAGTGATGCTGCCCACCTTTACTAGAATGCTCGAGAACTGTGTAAGAGCTATATAAAGGCTGGTTGTTGTGTTGTACAGCGGGACTAACACACGGACTTTTCATATCACTGGATTTATATATGTCTGTCTGCCTTCGTCAAGCTGACCTACATTTCAAGACTGACCGTGCGTGCCTGACTGCTCTCATTGTAAACAACCTTCAATCAGTATATCTGATCTCACTGTAAATGTCAAGACTCGTGGTGAGTTGATATCTTATATTTGTGACCCAATATTTTAGATTTGTGACACAATTGCATTGTACTAGATTGTCATTCATTGTAGCTTGCTCATTGTTTGTTCAATATATCATTGAACATTTTAGATTTGTCTGTGTTCTATTTTGCTACTTCAAAGGGGATTCTTAAACTTTTTGTAACGGCAAATTATTAACTGTAACAAGGACATTCAAAATCATATTAAAGATTAGAAGAACTATAAAGAATGAACTATATTAAGAATACAGATGTTACTGGAATGCAGGTTAATATGAGCTAACACAAAGTAAATTTAGGAATACATGAACTTAGGCACATTAATGTACATACATATGTGTTTAAATAGTAAAAGTTAAATGGATCAACTTGAGGCAATCTCACTCACGTGTGATTTTGTCTCAATAATTATAATAACGCAAACGCATGAAATGTTAGGTGTGAACAATGACAAATATGTGAAGTCATCGTATAGGTAAAGACTGAACGTTACCGTAATTTGAACATTAACATAGATTTATCAAAACACCTGGATACAGTTAAAGTATTATACACGTACTAGGTACACACACAAGCACGCACACACACACACACACACACATATACACATACACACATACGCACGAACTACAATATGAATGACTAATGTAAACCTGAGACAAATATACTGGACAAAATAAGTTAGGGATATTGGTATTTTTATTATTGATATTTTATCAGTGTGTCAATGAATTAACAGATCATTATTTCAAAATTTACATATATCCCTGACTATTTTTGACCAGTATATATGAAGAGCCACGAAGTTCCAGTTCCTCAATAGATCTGCATATTGATGCATTTGGCTGTACACACATTTGAAGAACGTAGAGGACAATCCCATAACGTAATGCTTCATCAAATTGATATGTATGCATTTTCTGTATAATATGAGTGTATTGAATCAAAGTCGAACATTTTCAATTTCATGTTACAATCACGTCAACTGACAATCTAATGTATCTTCTTAAACAGCTAATCTTAATTACAGTTGATAAAGACAAGTGACAGTATTATCATTAGAAAGACATGAAGATTCTCACATTGAACGTTAAATCATACAATGTTATGCTGGATAACCAAGTATTCAAACAAACGTGTATATATGGAAAGACAAGTGTTATTCAAATGGGTGAGTGAGTGAGTTTAGTTTTACGCCGCACTCAGCAATATTCCAGCTATATTGCGGCGGTCGGTAAATAATCTAGGCTGGACCAGACAACCCAGTGATCAAAAACATGAACATCGATCTACGCAACTGGGATACGATGACATGTGTCAAGCAAGTCAGCGTGCCTGACCGCCCAATCCGGTTAGTCTCCTCTTACGACAAGCATGGGTTACTGAAGATCAATTCTAGCCCAGACCTTCACGTGACATTATTGAAGCAACCAACACTACATAGCTTAATTTGGGTCAGTTAGGAGGATTAGATCAACCCAATAACAAACCAGACAGCAGAAACATATGCTATATAACAAGGATATATAACAAGGATATACATTTGGACATTGTCTGAATGGTAACAATGCATACAATTCGGGGCAACAACACAAGTCATAGAATGGCAAATGTAACATCAAATTGTATTCAGAAAGGTATATTTCAAAGCCAGTATATTACAGCTTAACAATCATATGTTTAACATCACCACGACAGGGAATAGTTGTCCATATAGTTCAATGTAGTTCCCACGACAGTTTGAATTTTCGACTCCTTGGCAGCTAAACAATGGAATTTTAAATCGTAATCTGACAGATCCACGTCCTGTAACAAGTGCCTACAGCTGAAAAACGAAAGTTTCTGGAACAGTTAGAAATCAATATCAAATACTAGGGGCAATCAAATGTTTTGAGCCTTTAATAATTCTGATGGGTGCGTGATAAAAATAACTATGATATTGAATAATGGTTTATATCATTCACATAAACGTAATAATGACATGCACATGTCGTTAGTTTCTTGTCACGTGACATCTAATCACATGTACCCCTATTGAAACGGCAGAAAGTGATAAGCTCGAGTACCACCTCGAGGGCCACCCGCGAAGCACATTGAAGAGCGATTGCCAGCAGTATACTGGAAGCGTTGCTCATCACCTGCAAGCAGCAAGCGATGGGTGAGAGAATTCCAGTGCGGTAGAGAGGGTCTGTAGACGAACCCCGTCCTGGTCAGCCACTCAACCATCACCAGACCGGAAAACATTGACCAGGTGCACACCTTGGTAATGAGCAATCGTCGAATCTCCATCCATGAGACAAGTGGCATCTCATGGATCAGTTGTAACCATCCTGCATGAACATCTACACATGTCTAAGGTTTAGCAAGATGGGTCCCAAGAATGCTCACCACCGACATGTAGCTCACGAGGGTCACCATAAGTAATGCCATGAGAGCAAGATATCAACAAAACCCCGATGAGTTTCATGTTACCTGTGATTAGTTACTTGTGATGAAACGTGGATTGATCACTATGACCGTGAGAGGAATCCATGAAGTGGAAGCAGGCCAAGTCTCCTCCGACCAAGAAGTCGTCCAGATCGACCAGGAAGGTTATGGCCACCATATTTTGGGATATGTGCTTGAGAATATTTCGATCATATGACGACGTGCATGCGTGTGTATGTGTAAGTACGGCTGCTTGTACTAGCCAGGACTTAAGCTGGTTTTATAGTGCTAGCCCACTGAGATACCATGCCACAGTGAAGCATGAATACCCCACTCAGACACATTATACTGACTTCGAGTCCTTGTTGTACCCATTAATGCCCAGCACCAGGCAGTGACCAACAAGTCATATTTTAACGTCTTTTGGTATGACGCGGACGGGGATCGAACCCGCGACCTTCCGCTCTCCGGGCGGACGCTCTAGCCACAACACCACGGAGGCGGTCGGATAGTCAAGGCATGATCCACATAAATTACCTTCCATGACGAACTACGCTGAATGGGAAATATTATGGTACCCTACTGAAGAAAGTGAGACCCTCCATCAAGGAGAAGCGCCGTGGCAAACTCAGGCGTGGAGTTCTCCTTCATCCCGACAAAGCTCCAGTCCATATCAGTCGTGTTGCACCGGTCGCTGTCGAAGAATCTGGATTTGAAATCCTACCTCACCCACCCAATTCTCCACACCTGGCACCAGGTGACTACCACCTGTTTTCCAATCTGAAGAATCACTTCCGTGGTAGGAGATTCGAGGATGATCATGAACTCACTACAGCTGTGGAGACGTGGCTACAGGACCAAGAAAGGGACTTCTATGGACAGGGCATAAATGCCTGGGCCTAGATTTTGTTGTTGCTCTCTCAGCGCTAAGATAGTCGTAAGTTAATGTTAATGTATGGCACTTACGACTATCTTAGAGAGCTTCGAAAATCTAGGCCCTGGTAGACAAGATTGACCAAGTGATCTATTTACAAGACGATTATGTTGAGAAATAAATGGGGATTGCATCAAAATATGCATCGTTCTGCTTCTAAATCCTGAGGCTCAAAACCTTGTTATAGCCCCTCGCATTTGAATTTTCGTCTTCACTAATAATCGCTTAGAGGACTGTGTGAATCTTAGCAGTATACGTCGTCTTAGCCTCCAAAATACTGGAGTTTATACTCATAATCTAATAACCATGCAACAAGTTCCTACAGCTGAAAACCTAAGTTGCTGGAACACTTCGAAAATCAAAAATCAAATAGTTGACAAATGGAAGTGTATCAGGAACCCAATGTTTGAAAACTGACGAAAAGTATGTTCAAGGTCTTGTCAAAGGTTTCTAGCTTCAGAATAGTGTTGGAGCTTTAAGGAATTTTGTCTTTACAACTATGTATCAGATTTACACTTGGTAAAAAAAATTAAAAACAACACCGAATGGCTGCGAATCGTCTTTCTACGCTCTTTTCCATTCAGAAACATCTAGAACAACCAAGTCCGATATGGCTTTGCATCCAACAGTTCTCTAGACTAAGACCATTCTGGAAAGTTCCACTCACACCACGAATGCGGTTTAATTCTGGCCATGACAGCATTTTGATAAATTAATGAACATAACAACAAACAGACAATTGCCGCTACCAATGAATTCAAGCAAAACAATCAATGATATATTCATTTCAGATTATGTATGCATCGTAATTATATCAGTGAGTGAGTATGGTTTTACGCCGCTTTTAGCAATATTCCAGCAGCATCATGAGTGAATGAGTTAAGATGTTAAGTCACATCGGCGTAATTTCAGCCACTTGACTAAAATAGTCAATAATTTCAAAACAAATAAAGGTAAATAATACAAACCTGTCAGCGAAGGACAGTAAAAACAACTAGAACATCACAGATATGAATATAAAACCAGTATGTTAATCTACAATATTTCAATTACAGAAGACATTACAATATAGAAACAGGCTAATTATTGCCAACAACTGAAGGTAGATCACCATACTAAGCAGTATAATGGCGGGGAACACCTGAAATGGGCTTCCGACATTGTACCAATGTGGGGATCGAACACTTGAACCACAAGGCTACCCAACTGCCCCCGTAATTATATCAGGGACCAGATAACAATAGTACAATATGAGGATAATGGTTACTTGCACCACTCAACTTTCCGGTCACCACAAGCTATACGCGTTTGCGTGTCTCATTCAGAAATAGTCCAGCTATAAGCTATTGGAAAGGCGGCCAAGAAACAATAAAGAGTGGACCACGAAATCTCTAGGGCCGGTGGGGTAGCCTAGTGGTTAACGCGTTCGCTCGTCACGCCGAAGACCCGGGTTGGATTCCACACATGGGCACAATGTGTGAAGCCCATTTCTGGTGTCCCCCGCCAAGATATGGCTGGAATATTGCTAAAAGCAGCGTACTCCAGTGATATTACCAGCATCGATCCACGTCATCAGGCAACGGAGACACGCTAAATAAAGCCTTGCCACCTCATCCATTTGGTCGCCAGCATATGTCGCATAGAAACAAGAACAATAATGAGTTAGGAATAAGGTTTCCTCAGATTCTCCAATATTCAAAACACTTCAGTGGTTTTTATGTACATTATGAAGGAACAGTGCACAAAAACAGGGAATCTGGGTTATGCAACTGAGCCACAACACAAAGGCATTAAACGGATGACACTTTAGGGGACAAGGTAACACACTGACATCGTTGTGATAAAGACACTCCTTCACGACTCGAGCCACTGTGGTCTGGTGTTCTTTTGCGAAAAAGATAAAATGGCTATTAAAAATCTCGTCATGAATTTTTACAGCATTCAAGTTCCGCTCAATGCCAAAAACTGTCATCTTTGCTGCATCTGTTTTTCCTTCCCCACTGTCCAAAACGACATCCCTTCAATTACATATGGCCTGGTGTAACGCCGACCTAGAGACACGTGTCCTTCCGTCAGCTCGGTGAAGATGGAAAAGTGAATCATCGGTGAAAAGAACTCATCTCCTCTCGTGCTCCCCATTGCAAGTATCGTCTGCTCCACTGGAGACGTCGATGTCGTCGTGCGCGGATGTAGCACTGTTCTCGTAGACACACCTCGATTTCTTTGATTGTCATTCTAGAAGTTGGGTAGATGAAGAATGAAGACTATTTTTATGTATATACAACTTCTGTATTCTGTATAGGCGACGTTTCGATATAGATTCTAATGTCGTCAAGCAATCGCTGCTTTTATATATCCATAAAAATAGTCTTCATTCTTTGCACCTCTGATGCCAGGAATAGGATTGACTGTAAGGGTTGCTGGCTGGTACCAATGTTGGAAGTGCGTTGCTAGAACCATCTGTCTTGTTATGTTACTGGGGCCACAACGATGAAGGTCTATACCTTTATTGCTGTATTTAAAACGTAGTCTGAAGTGCCAAATGGTCTTTCTATAAACGTTGCTTCTTCTACTGTTAGGTACCAGATCTCCAGCTATCATTTTCCCATTTGTGGCGAACTTATTCCAGAACGTCTTAAGCTTGCATTGAGTGGAAATGGTAAGTGTCTGGTTGTCTCGCATTAAAATATGTTTCTCGAATATGTCATGATTATTCGACCTCTGGGTTAGATAAAAAAAATCAGTCACAAGGTGACCAACTTACATGTCACAATAACTTTTGCCTCAATGAATAGATGGATTGATGGATGGATGGATGAATTAATGGACGGATAAAGAAAATGAGCTTGAAAAAGTTCACTTGATAATGGTGAAATTCAGATTTTGGTCCATATGACCCTTGATGTCCCAGAGATGAAGATGGATAGCATTACTAAGACTTTAATGCACTTCTTACACTCTAACTCTATCTGACCACAGAGACATTTCGCGGTCTGAAGGACGCAGTCTGCAAAAGTGTCAGCACATATAGTGGAAAGAAACTTTCTACAATGATGTGTCAGTGGACGACTGCAATGACCTGACCTTCAACCTTTTCGTTTTGAAAATACAACATTGCAGAAAGAAATGTGCTTGCGATCTTCCAGGTGACAGATAACTGATAATGAAGGACAGAGGTTAGAATGTATAATGACATCTCACCATCAAACAGAATATGTGATGCTTGTTAGTTTTGGACCAAAATTTAGAAGAACAGAAACCATTGAAAAATACATATGTTGACTCAATACGGTTTCATAAGTGCTCAAACAAATGTTATAAATATTACATTTCATTTTCATGTGATAACACACTAGCAAACATGGGCATATCAATTGGACGTATCTATAAATGAAAGTTTGAAGTTGAAAAGAACAATTACTATAGACATATTTACAGTTTCTACCACGTACTAAGAGTTCTTACACATTCAAGGTGAAAGCTACACGCATCGCTGAACATGACCATCAATCAAAAGTGTTGAATCTATATCGAATGCAGGTGTTTCTGTAAAAGTGACAAATTAATGTCCATTTCATAAAATGGGAAGGTCTTACGTTCTACCAGAAGTCTTTCCTTAGAGACAGTCCATCTCAGTGACAGGACTCAGAGCATTTAAGAGTTTTTGTCTTTTGTATGATGGTTCAAGCTTCACACAGACGTCATGGCCAGTGAAGCCACCAGTGTTTTTCTTAGACAGATCAGCACCCATCTGTACAAGCAGCTTCACCAGGTTGTATTGTTTTCTTGTCACTGCCACATGGAGAGGTGTGTCACCATTGTCATCCATGGCATTAACATCACTGCCGTGTACCATCAGAATCCTGGCGATCCTGGCATGACCCGATTGTGCACATCTATGAAGAGGTGTCCTATTATGTGCATCATCTACATCAACATCGGCACCAGCTTTTAAAAGCAACTCCAGTGACCGCTGACAATTCATGGAAGCTGCATGGTGAAGTGGAGCATCCCCATCATTGTTCTTAATATCAGGATCAGTGTTCTTCTTTAACAGTCGTTCTACAAACTTCCAAACCTGGATATCTCTTCTATGATGTGGTATGTAATACGAAGCTGTCCCATGCTGACATTCTGCCACAAGTTTTAGTAAAAGGTTCAATGGTGTGTTCCCATTACCATCTTTAACATTAACGTCACAGGTTCCTTTTAACAAAATACAAACAAGTTCATAGTTTGAATTTTGCACAGCTATGTGTAGAGCAGCAAATCCTTCACGGTTCTTGATATTGCAATCAGCACCATACTGCACGAGCACTTTCACGTTGTCATTAAGACATATTGAACGGCCAATCTTCTTTCTGTTGTTAACAGACTTCGCGTCTTTACTTCCAGCCCTTCAACAATCCACAATTTCTTCCTTTTATGTTGTTTACTCCTTTCATGAATTTCGCTTCTACTGCAAGCAATCAAGAGTGGAGTGTCACCGCTATTGTCTCTTAGGTTTGGATCAGCTCCATTCCTGAGCAGTAAATCAACTTTACCTTGAAATCGAATTTGACACGAGTATGCGAAGTCTACCCAATGGTGGAGTGCTGTAGATCCCAAGCTATTTTGAATATTGACTTTGACATCGTTTGCTAACAGCACTAGCAAACACCTCCATGAACGCAATGAAAAGTGAAGTGCAGTGTTTCCTTGGCAATCTTTTGAATTCACATCAAAACCCTTTTCTAGAAGCAAAGTTATAGTTTTCCAGAATCGTCTGAATGCAAAATTTGTGAACATGTCTCCCGTGCATTTTAGGTTTCCTCCATGTAGAAAAATTAATTTGAATATCTCCAATGGTATGTACGAACCCCAAATGTTGCGTGGAATGACTTTCTTTCGTGATGGCTGAATATTTACATCGACTCCCTTCTTGATTAAGCACTCCACCATTTCCCAGTTGCTATTCTTAAGTGCAATGTGGAATGGTGTGTATCCTCCCATGTCTTCCAGTTTGTCAGGATCATTGCAACTCTTGGCAATCGCACTTTCATCTGAATTAATCCGTCCTGTGAATGCTTCTGTTTTTTCAGTCTCTTTGGTTTTGCTTGGAGTAGTATGGTCAGTTGAGCTGGATTCTAGGTTTGTGCTATTTCCATCAATGCCAACATCTAGAGTTGCATCTTTAGAATTTGTTACACTGCTTGTATTCAGGTTCTCTTGAACAATACATGGGCCGATTTGGGGCTGATGGTTTTCCACCGTCGCCTGACCTGTTGCAGTGGAGTCAAAGGCTTGTATGCCTTCAGATACTGTCTCGTCAATTGGGGTTTCCCCAAAAGAAGCTCTTTCATTGACGATAGTCTTGCCAGTACAACTATCTACTCGCTTCTTTTTTGCCATTCCAGCATCTGGTGACGTTTGGGCTGCTCTTTTATGGACAAAATGTATGTTCTGTCTGATATTTATAGGGTTTAATAGAGATGTAGAGGTGAATGTTCTGTTATCAGTACTGAGCAGATTTACATCAGCTCCATGGTCACATAGCAATGCAGTAAGACTTTCGTGACAAACCTCTTCCATGTGTGTCTTACCCTGCCACGGAAATGGGTTGTTTTCAGTTGCAATCTCATAGTCTCGTATGTATCCAGTGACAATCACTTGTGGATAATCCCCTTTTGCAAGTTTTATAAGACACTTTTGGGCACACTCTGGTGTTTGACAGAAACCGTGATTGATGAGGAGTTTCACTTTTTCAAAGTTATTTGTACTTCTCAGAGGATGTAGATTTGAACAGGGTGGATTCCTAGGACAATATTTCAGCAACATTGCAAGAGCGTCTACAGATAAAGTTACAGCTGCCTCATAGACTGGTGTCATTCCTTTCTTATTTTCCAGTAAAACATCAGCACCCCTTTTCAGAAGGATATCGACACATGCTTTTGTGGATTGTGATGATAGTGCAAGGTGCAAAGGTGTGTTTCCGTCAGTGTTTCTCTGATTTACATTTGCCCCCTTGTCAATGAGTGTTTTAACAATCTGAATATGGTTACCAACTGCAGCAAGGTGGAGCACAGTGTTGCCCCTATAGTCAGCAATTGTGATATCACTATTAGCTTGGATGAGGGCCTTAACCTTGTCAGCCTTGTCTGTTCCTGACAATATGGCTAAATGGAGAGCTGTTGAACCTCCGGAAGTGAGTTCCTTCACATGAGGGTACTTTTTCAGAAGCAAAGTTAAACATTCAAAGTTACCATTTTCACTGGCAATGTGCAGAGGTGTTTCTGACGATTTGTCCCGATATACTGGGAGTGGACTTACCATTGCTGATAAAATCAAGTTCAGTAACTCAAAGTTGGAATAAATGATCTGTGAGTGCAAAATTGTATATCCGTTGTCATCAACAAGATTGATATTGGCACCGCAACCAAGAAGCAACTTAACTGATTCTGTACTGCGTTTTGATGCTTCCAATAGTGGCGTGCTGCCCTTTGTGCCAAATGTTTGTGAAGTGTCATGTTGAGCCCCAGTGATTGGTGGTGTCTCTCCGTTTGAAAATTTGCTTAATAGTATTTTAAGAGCATCTGGTGTTTTGTGTTGGGATGCCATAAAGATCAGCTTTCCATGGTCCCCTTCAGCGCCCTCCTTCAGAAGAAGTTCCAGCATCTGTTTTAAAGCCTCTTGTCTTTTGTCATAATGGCAGCTGTAAAACTCATCCATTAGTTGGTGGAGAAACGTGTTCAGCATCCTTTGGTAATCTCCTTCAGATATTTCCTGTGCGTTCTCCTTCATACATTGCATTATCTCTCTTACATGTTTCACTTTGAGAACAGCTATTGCTAAACGCACTAACTTCTCAAGGTAAAACCAACAGAACCGCGATGTTTGTTTGAAGTGGTGTAGAAGTGCCTTCATAAACATTATATTCTCTTTGTCGGATACAATGCACAGGGGAATGATGACTCTTGGAACAGCACCTGGGTCAGTGTCTATTTCAGAAAACGCCTTTCGAGCAACCTCAAAGTTCCCCATAAAACATGCGCAGTGAAGGAGTCTAATATCGTGTCTCATCTTCACTTGATCAAGAATTTTCTTTGCTAGTGTCTCTAAATTTTGCATAACTATCAAACAAATGAGAGTTTTGTATGTAGCCATCCATCTTCTGTACAGTTTTCCAATTGAACTTCTTGCCTCGTTTTGAGCTCGGAAAACACTTTCAGTATATGAAAAGGCAAAAGGAGCATCCTTGTAAATATGAAAGAAACCAATTTTCCTGCGGCAGATGCGCGTACATCCCTTGCATTTTAAGATACATTTTGTGAGGACAACGTTGAATTGTTCGTCCTTCAATGCAGAGTGACTTAACACTGAAAAGAAGTCCCCTTCTGTGAGCTCAAAAGCTATTCTCTGTGCAAGGATTTGGCAGTTTTTCACTTGCACCTGAAGCAGAAGACTTCCTTCTGAAACACTACACGAAGAGACTTGTGTGTATTGAACAAGAAACCTAGTGGGACACATATCAATGACATCTTTGATATGATAACTGGAAAAGCTTAGTAGTACAGAATCATACAATATAGGATGAAGAAATCGGTAAGTTTTGTCTGATTCCGAATAAGACAAATACTCCCCTATCATACTGTCAGCTATATTTTCAAGATTACACGGACTGACATCAAACTTTACAAATTTCCTGATAGTTTTCAAAACAAGACCAGTGTCCTTGACTTCACTGGACTGTGGATCTGGGTAGAAAAAACTCTTTGGAAGTCGCCCCTGCATCACGGCAAGAAGAACCAGCACAAGGTACTGAAGATCATTTTGTTCTCTCACTATCTTGAACCTCTTCACCATGCATTCAACAGGGTTTTGGAAATACTCCAGGCCTTTCTGACGTGATTCATTATCACGAGCATAGAACTGACATATCATCGGCAAAAAAGGAATACTAAGTTTTGAAAGAACCGACTTTTCCGCTGTGCACAATGGTTTCTTCATTGCATTCTGAATCATTTGTAATTGTTCATCGCCGGTTACCTCATATTTCGGATCTGAGAGTGACAGAATGTGCGAGGTTTGAAATAGTTTATATTCCGAGAGCTGTTCTTTGCAAGTGTTGAAAATGCCTCTAGATAACAAAAGGACCAGGTTCACGATTCCAAATTCAATATGCGGCCACATGCTATCAAATTTCTGCAGCCATAATGCTTTCAAGTAAGATTCAGTGTTTTCAATCCCAAACATGTTGTCCACCAGAATGGTAAGTTTCCTTCTAGGGTCTTGATTCTTTGGTAGACGTAGAGGTAGGGTGTCCCAATCTTGTGGACTGGTTAATATGACAGGTTTCGATCCTGACGTTAATGATTTTAGGATGTGCAGACCCATGGCCGTCTTGCCACTGCCTCGCTGTCCTACAATCACTACCACCCCATGGAATGCTAATCGTTGTTTTGCTTCACGACAAGCTGCTGTCTCCACAAACTTTTTCTCGTCAAATGACCGCAGTTGCAGTTTTGTTGATTCTGTTGAATGGAAAATGATATCGTTTAAATTTAAGTTTGTTCTCAAAGGTTATTATGATTGTCATTATGTTATCAGAGGGATGTGGCTTTGGGGAGCAGTCGTCTAAGGCGCTTCGATTCGCCTATGTATAGGGCCCGTAGGTCACGGCGCCTAACAGAGACCTTACGTTGTTTAGTTCCTCCGAAGACAAACAAGTTTTCATAAGTTTTTCAATGACCTCATGGTTGTCAGTTGACACTAAGGAACCGATAACCCTTGCAGGAATAACATATTTCCGATCTAACTATCCCCAAATTAGCCAACAATTACCACTGTCAACAGTTGTGACAGCCAAACATGGTTGTACACTTGGTCCGGTCTAGTGAAGTCATATTTAGCGGTTGCGCAATTTTGAACAAGAGCTGGTTCGTGAATATACGCTTGTCATCGGAAATCTGATACCGGAAGTCAGCTGGGCCCCGTCTCGCATATCGCAAGTTGGCGCGCGCAAAGGAAGTCGGGAACCAACTTAGTACCGAAAGTAGCGTCTCGCGATACTCATAGCCATACTGAACTTGTGCCTCTTGGGTATGACTTGTGATTGTAGGTTCAAATCCCAGTTCGCCCCAATTGTGTTTTCAGTTTTGTCAGTCCGATATACATTGCTCATGTGTTTCACCAAAGTGGTAGAGGTGTATAACCTGGGCCATCTCCAGCTTTCCCCCACATTAAGCGAGCGCTCACTCAAGCATAAAAAAACGAGTACTAGAGTTTTTGATAGATAGAGTTTTCTAAACGTTAAGTATATATATCCTTGTTTCTATCTGTCAGGGTTAATAAACTGGAAGCATAGCCGGGAAATGTTTAGTGTAGTCAAAGGAGGTTACAGTAAAATATAATGTGTAAATTTGTATTCTGAACGATCTTATCAACTCGTGAATTTTCAAAAATGATGGGATCAACTCTGTCTCTATAACTGGCATCAAAACACTAAACCGCTTCTATATTTTGGCAATGTTGAATGTTTGGACAAACTCTGGGATGATTACTAACGTACATCAAAGTTCAAATTTCTATTAAAGATTAGTTTTAAACAATTTGATTAGTATTGCATTGTAATCACAATAAAAACAAGACACTTCTGACAACTCCTGTATTCTATTCTGATGTGACCTTACGATATTGATTGCATGGCAATGGTATATGAATCAATACCAGACCGACTCATCTTAAAGGAATAAAGAAGTTATCAGCCATAAAGTATATTGCCTTTATTTAATGTACTAGTGTCTAATTAAGCTACTAAAGTATATGTCTGTTTTTCAAGATACATACACAAACATACAGTGTCCGTGAAAACGTGAAGGTTTCACACAATAATGTGTAAAAGTAAAACCTTATAGAAGCCTTACACAATACGTTGTACGATGGACTATCAGTATTATGAGAATTATCACTTGATAATAACTGCCAGTATCAGGCCACACATATATTTATTCAAACTCATGCTTACCAAGTATAGTTGTGTAGCGACTTCCATATCTTCGTTCTGTAAAGAGAACATACATTAGCAAGCAGGAGGCAGGAAAGATACGTCAAAGTCAATTTGTCTTTTGTGATGTCTACTCAAATATATCAACATAACTACATATTCTCTGCATTGAGACTCGTCAATCAAACTACATATTCACTACAACAAATCAACAGAACGACACGTATACTCACATTTAATAAGTTAAGCTACATGACTATTCACAAAAGGAGCGACACGTATACTCACATATACAAAGTTTAGCCACATGTCGACTCGCCGGAGGAACGACACAGATACTCACATATATTAAGTATAGTCACATGGCCACTCACTGAAGGAACGACGCGTATACTCACGTATATTAAGTATAGTCACATGGCCACTCACTGAAGGAACGACACATATACTCACGTATACTAAGTATAGTCACATGGCAACTCACTGAAGGAACGACGCGTATACCCACGTATATTAAGTATAGTCACATGGCCACTCACTGAAGGAACGACACAGATATTCACGTATATTAAGTATAGTCACATATCAATGGCACATGTATACTCACATTGAGACTCATCAATGGAACATGTATACTCACATTGAGACATATCAATGGCACATGTATACTCACATTGAGACATATCAATGGCACATGTATACTCACATTGAGACATATCAATGGCACATGTATACTCACATTGAGACATATCAATGGCACATGTATACTCACATTGAGACTTATCAATGGCACATGTATACTCACATTGAGACTTATCAATGTCACATGTATACTCACATTGAGACTTATCAATGCCACATGTATACTCACATTGAGACATATCATGTATACAGGCAAGGACTTACATGTCACATGTATACTCACATTGAGACATATCAATGGCACATGTATACTCACATTGAGACTGATCAATGTCACATGTATACTCACATTGAGACATATCAATGGCACATGTATACTCACATTGAAACTTATCAATGGCACATGTATCAATGGCACATGTATACTCACATTGAGACTTATCAATGGCACATGTATCAATGGACTTATCAATGGCACATGTATTGAGACTATCAATGGAACATGTATACTCACATTGAGACTTATCAATGGCACATGTATACTCACATTGAGACTTATCAATGGCACATGTATACTCACATTGAGACTTATCAATGGCACATGTATACTCATCATTGGCACATACTCACATTGAGACCAATGGAACATGTATACTCACATTGAGACTTATCAATGGCACATGTATACTCACATTGAGACATATCAATGGCACATGTATACTCACATTGAAACTTATCAATGTATCAATGGCACATGTATACTCACATTGAGACATATCAATGCCACATGGCACATACTCACATTGAGACTTATCAATGGAACATGTATACTCACATTGAGATCATCAATGAACAATATACACACATTGAGACATATCAATGGCACATGTATACTCACATTGACACATAAACAACACACACATACACAACACTCACATACACACACACGCACAAACAACACACTCAGACAACACTCATACACAACACGCACATACACAACACGCACATAAACAACATACACATACACGCACATATACCCACATACATACACAACACGCACATACACAACAATACACATACACAGCACTCACACATACAATAACACATATACACAACACATACATACATACTACATACACAAACACATACATACACAAACATACATACACAATACATACACACACAAACAATAACACATACACAACACATACATACACACAACACTCACATTACACAACACATACGTACACACACATATATTACATAACACACATACAAGCACACACAACACATACGTACACATAACACATACAAACACAACACAACATTATAACACAACACACACATACACAACACTTACATTCACATACACATACACAACACTAAATTATTATACATACACAACACATACATACACTACACGCACATACATAAATACACACATTGACAACACACACATACACGAATACACATAGACAACACTCACATAGACAACACTCCATACATACATATACAATACACAATACACATAGACAACATACACAACATACACATATCACAACACACACATACATAACACACATTCACACCATTCATACACACACATACACAACACACACATAGACAACACGCACATACATAACACACACATAGACAACACTCACATACATACAACACACATATACAGAACACACACATACACAACACGCACATACACAACATAAACACACATACATAACACGCACATACACGATAACACATACATACACAACACATACATACACAAAACACATTACATACACATACATAATCACATATCATACATTAAACACAGCACATACACATACAACACCACATACATTACCATCCATACATAACACATCAATGCACATTACATACACAACACATCCATATAGTACAACACTCACATACATATACATACATACAACACATTACATAACACCACAACACATACATACACATAAAACACACACACACATACATACATACACAACGCACACATAATGGATACATACACAACACACATACACACACACACACACACACAATAAGATACATACACAACACATACATACAATGGCATACTCACACATACACATCACATACAAAACACAAAACACACATACACAACACATTAATACACAACACTCCACACATACATCAATTATACACAACATCACAATATACATAACATACACATTAACAACACAATACATACACAACAACATCACACAAACATATACATACATTGAGACACTACACATTACACAACACACATCGCATACAAACACGCACATACACAACACTCATTATACAATAACACACATTCAACCAACACACATACGAAAACACATTTCACATACACAATGCCGCATACACACTACATTGGAACACGCACATCACAACACACACATACACATTAAATAATACATACACACACATACATACACAACATTAACACGACATACAATATTAGACAACACACACATACACAACACACACACATAACAACACAAACATACGCAACACGCACATACAATCAATCATTAACACATAGACAACACATACATACACAACACTCACTCAATACACAACACACAAACAGAAACATCACACATACACAACACGCAACATACACAACACGCACAAACACAACACACATACTCATACGCAACGCCATACACATACAGCACACATACATCTAACACATACATACACAACACACACATACATACTCTACACATCCATACACAACAATAACACATATACAACACACACATACACAACACACACATATACATACACATTAACTTAGACAACATTACAACACACACACAACACACACATAGACAACACACACACACATACACAACACACACATAGACAACACACACATATAGACAACATTCACATACACAACACACACACATACACAACACACACATAGACAACACCACATCAGACACACACACATTCACATACACAACACACACATAGACAAACACTCAACATTAGACAACACTCAACTTACACATACCAACATTACATATACACACATAACAACAGACACATACACATTAGGCGCACTTCTGTTGCATAACACACACATTACATACAAAATAATTCACATACACATTACCAACACACATTACACAACACACACATTACACAACACTCTACATACACAACACGCACATACATAATAACACATATACGATAATGTTTTAAATCAACCACACTACACTACAACACATTGACCGCACAACACTTCACATACAAAACATTACTTTACAATTAACACATACGAAAAATCACACACACAACATCAATACACACACAAACACAATACACACATATACAACACATACATACACACTAACGCTTACATTACACAGCACATATTATTACTCCAACACATACAAACACAAACACATAACATACATACTAACACATCCATACACAATACACACATACATACACAACACAAACATACATACACAACACACACATACACAACACATAGATACACAAAGCACATACACACACATCACATACATACAAAACACAAACAGAAACAACACACGCACATACACAACACACACACATACACAACACACACACATAATACACATACACAACACACACATACACAACACGCACATACACAACACACACATACACAACACTCTCATACACAACACACACATACACAACACACACATACACAACACACACATACACAACACTCACATACACAACACACACATACACAACACACACATACACAACACACACATACACAACACACACATACACAACACACACATATACACAACACATACACACACACAGAGAGACACACACACACTGATCTCTCACGATTGTATCAACTGTTATGAACACACGCACATACACAACACACACATGCACAACACACACATAGACAACATACACAACACACACATACACAACACACACATATACACAACACATACACACACAGAGACACACACACTGATCTCTCACGATTTTATCGACTGTTATGAAGTGATTTCATGGATTGTCCATACTGTATGCTTACCCCGTTTCACATTTGGTTGTTGTATAAACGAGCAGTTAGTTGCATTTATTGTAATCTGTTCCCCTATCCCGTCTGGTAGTTGCCGATCGTGATTCGTCAGTTGCCTGAAAGTACAGTGTAACTATTTTTGTGATGGTGATAGGGCATAAATCACCCTAGCAATAAAAGAGAAGTTTCGATGAAACCTGGATCCTTGTTATTTAATGTGCAAAAAAATAGACTATAGGGGTTATCAGACTATCAAAAGTATTAGCATGAAACGAGCGAGTGAGGGAGTAAGTGAAGTTAGTTTTACGCCGCTTTTAGCAATATTCCAACAATATCACGGCGGGGACACCAGAAGTGATCTTCACACATTGGACCCATTGTGGGTAATCGAACCCTCGTCTTCGGCGAACGCTAAACCATTAGGCTATCCCACCGCCCCAGGGTGAAACGATTGCACATCCACGTGTTTCCTCGTGCTTCATCGTTTACTACTTCAGGTAGACTCCCAAGATGTCTATATATCATCCAAGTTCCCCTAAATGTAAGAGTGTCTGTATGAGGGGACATCAGTCCCTGAGCATTAGCTCGTCAACCCGAAGGCACAGTGGGTACAGTGTGTTAAGCCTTTTTTTCGTGACACTGCCGTGATATAGCTGGAGGTTTGTTAAAGGCGGCGTATAACCATACTGACTCACTCACTCAAATCAATACGGGGATGACTTGTCATTAAGAACAAGTCCAATGTGAAATATTCCCATAATCGTAGGGGCCTGTAACGCAAAACAAACTGGCTTCATGGCATATATTGTCACTGACGGGACACTACAAAAAGGAGTGAGTGAGTCTAGTTTTACGCGGCAGAGAAAGGGACAGCCAGGTGTTAGAGATGCACGTGCACAAGTGCCCACCAAGTTATTGATTCATTAGCCTGTGCTGTGCCGTCTCCATCCTTTCTCGCACACCCGGCTGTCCCTTTCTCTGCACTCCTCCCTCGTAACAAATAGTAAACTGTGTCGATATTTTAATGATAGTTTGTTAAACAACTTTTTTATTTTTAGGACATAAATTCTGCAAACACCTCTCAGAGTTGGTCTGACGTTTTCATTATGATCAGTGTTTCATTGAGTATTTTATGTTTATAAGTTTTCGAGTTAGATTGCCATTCATCGGTCCGCTTTTGAGCCAAACGGACTATACCTTCTGTGAGTTCAAGAAACTATTTTCTACTCAAGGATTTGGCAGTTGTTCTCTTGGAATTAACATTTCACCCTAGGTCGAAGTGCGGCTTCGATTGTTTTGTAATCTTGGTCTCAATTTATAGGTAAATCTAAAGCTTCAAATGCATGTATAATTTTATGTTAGTGTTTACAAGTTGGTAAAAAAGCTGGGATACCAAAGTCTGGAATAAGCTCCATACCCACAAACCGGTCATTGGAGGTCAACCCCATTCTGGTCTTTATCGCCATGATGAAGTTGTCATACAGCGATGCCGAAATTTTACACACATTCGTTTTTATTGAAAGGGGAAGATCCTTCTTTTAGCATCATCCCTTGCAACAATCCAGTTACACATTCGTCACCACTCCGTAACCGACAAGACCCACATGGGTACAATGTGTGAAGCCCATTTCTGGTGTCCCCCGCCGTGATGTTGCTGGAGTATTGCTAAAAGCGGCGTAAAACCAAACTCAGTCAGTCGTAACCGACAAGAAGACTCGTCCCCCTATCGATGCTTGTTATGTGCGAAAATACGACAAAGGTCAATCAGAACGCGCGTAAATAATAATCCCGAGTACTTTAATCGTTTATGGCATTATGGCATTGTTTAAAAAATCATGAAAAATATATATCGTCATATTGAAAGTACAAAGAACGTAGCTAACAGGATTTTGCTGCCTATTTTGAAGGTTTTAATAAGAATCATGCGATTGACGGTGAGAGATTCAAATACACGCACGTGCGTTTGTTGACATAATGGCTCTCATGGGTCCAACAGAGTGTATTTTTGATGATCTTGTGGTCTTGTCATGCAGAATGTATGTGCGCTTCCAACAATTTTAGGAAATGTCATTATATATCGCTACGAGTTTCAAAACAATTATATTATTTTTGTATGTAACTAATAAACTTTAATCTTTAACATTGAGCTTATATTTCACATCTCTGGGGATATTTTAGTCTGACTTTTTGGCGGGTCATATATTTTTCAGCGAATTCATTTAAAATTCCAGGGGTATGACAGCAAGATTGCACGAATGTTCAGTCTGAGAAATATTTTAAAGTCATTCTTGAGTTTGTGCTTTGGGATTTCATGTAGCTGAAAATTTTAAACTTTTATTATTTGCATATTCAATGAAACAATTCCCATTTGTGATTATTAAACCCTATTTAGAAAATTAACATAATTGGAAATATAAGGCGAACAGCTGGTAATAATTACATTAGAATATGTCTTTAACAAATATGCTTTTCCTCCTTCTCTTAGTTGTATCAAAGAGGTTTAATTCTTTGAAATAAATAAGTAAAAATAAAAACAGCAATACAATGTACAAGTGCTTCGCTGATGTTAAGTGACATTAGAACCAAACAGGAATAGAGTTACCGTTCTTATTTAAAGTTGTTCTGATGTTCATGCGCCAATATGAAATCCTTCCAGAGGGCCACGAGTCGCTATTCGGTTTGCCCCGGAATAACACGCGTTGGTTACGAATGTCCAATTACAATCAAGCACATTTAATTTTGCTTGAATGTGTTGATTTTGTGATATCAATACTTTATCTGAACTTTCTACAATAGTTTCTTAACACCTGGTTTTAGCATATTTAAAAGAAATCAAACTGTTTGATAAAATATGGATTTGTATTTCAAAGTCAGTATTTACCCTTGAATGTGAAATGTGACTGGCACTTTTACAAATGAACATCGTTTCCACTGATATTATTAACATCTAGACTATTTTATTACAAAATATTTACTCAACCGCTCACCGCTCACTCACTCAGTATTTACGAAGAGTATTGTTGAAGTCGTCATGATTCAAACCTGGTATATTGACCTCGTCACACGCCTTTCCTTATTCATAGCGCTAAGACCCCGTCATTGATAATATACTATATATGTATGTGTGTGTGTGCGTGCGTGCGTGCGTGCGTGCGTGCGTGCGTGTGTGTATCTATATATATGGTTAATTGCAGATTGATTTCTCCACTAACTTGGGGGAACCAACTGCAAACCTTATGCAGATGAATTGCACGGGGATAATGCATCAAATTGCTGAAAAGGATGTGCAAATGTACATGTGAACAGCTGCGTTTTGGTGTAAAGTTAAGAATTCGCCAATTTTTTAACAGATTTTTATCATTTACTGAACTCACGACAATAATCTTTTCAACGTTACGAATTTGTTTTACAATACATCAGTTCATGTGTAAACAGTACCTTTAAACAGTATTGGAATATTTTGCAAATTTAGTTTAGAACAGTTGCCTGAAGTAAGTGGCTATATCTCTACACTAGTGAGTCTAAACTTTTGATGGTTAGTATATGTACCTAAGTATGCAAGTTGTATTGGGTTTTTTTGGCGTTACAAGGAATCTACAGTTCAAAAAGATAGCCATGCAATTAATATCTGTAATTCATCGTACCCCATATGATGCTCCATCAACGATTGCCTCTCCATCTCCATCAAGGTGTTCCGTTCGCCGACCTGGGGAAAAAGGACGATAATAATGATTAAGGACACTAAACGTCAATCTTGCAGATACAGTGAAACCTGCAAACACCGGCACCTGTCTAATCCGTAAACACTGTCAAACCTGCATAAAATTCTGGTCCCGCCATTTTACAAAGATATAATGATCATTAAAACATTCTCCAATCCGGCACATGCATAACACACATACATAACATACATAACACACATACACAACACACATACATAACATACATAGCACACATACACAACACACATATATAACAAACCTACACAAAACACATACATAACAAAATTACACAGCACACATACATAACAAAACTACACAACACACATAGACAAAACACAAACGTAACAAAACTACTAAACACACATACAAAAAACACATACATAACAAAACTACATAACACACATACACAAAACACAAATATAACAAAACTGCACAACACACATACACAAACCACATACACAACAAAACTACAGAACACATATACATAACAAAACTACACAACACACATACATAACAAAACTACACAACACACATGCATAGCAAATCTAAATATCACACATACACAAAACACAAACGTAACAAAACTACACAACACACATATATAACAAAACTTCATAACACACATACACAAAACACAAACATAACAAAACTACATAAGGAACATACACAAAATACATACATAACTAAACTACACAACACACATACACAAAGCACATACATAACAAAACTACATAACACACATACACAAAACACATGCATACCAAAACTACATAACACATGTACACAAAACACAAACATAACAACACTACACAACACACATACACAAAACACATACATAACAAAACTACACAAAACACATACATAACAAAACTACAGAACAGATACACAAAACACATACATGACATAACTACACAATACACATACATAACATAACTACACAATACACATACATAACAAAACTACACAATGCACATACATAATAAAACTACACAATGCGCATAAACAAAACACATGTATAACAAAACTACACAACACACATACACAAAACACATACATAGCAAAACTAGACAACACACATACACAAAACATACATAACAAAACTACATAACACATAGATACAAAACACATACATAACAAAACTACATGACACACATACAAAACACATACATAGCATAACTACATAACACACATACACAACACACATACATAACAAAACTACATAAGACACATACATGAAACACAAACATAACAAAACTATACAACACACATACATAGCAAAACTACATAACACACATACACAAAACACATACAAAACAAAACTACACAACACATATACACAAACACACACACACAACAAGACAACACACATACATACACACATACATCAACACAACCACATACATCACACATACACACAGACACATTACACAACACACAGCCACACATCAACACACAATAATACACACATAAATGACATTTGCATGTATGTACATATTGTGCATATGTTACGCATGCGTTGTACGCATTGCGTATGCGTGTTGTGCGCGTACATAACACGTGTTACGTAAAGTACACAACCACATGTACATGTGAACATGTAATACAGGGTGTTGTAGAGTGTTAGGTATATGTAATAAAGGAAGAAGGTGCACAGGCATGCGTTGCGGGAGCAGAAACAGGTATGTGGCAGCCAGGTACACAGTTGTGTAAGTAAGTTGTGGGGTATGTGTTGTAGATAGCAGCTACAGGTGACAAGGTAACGTGTTATAGTATGGCCAGCGAATGTAGTGACATGTATAGTTGGTATAAGTCTACACAAGTGTTGTGATCATAAGCGTGGTGTTCGGTGTGTTATGCATGCAGTTATGGCCGTATGTAGTAGCCAGGTACATGGACATAGAAGGTGGTGTTGTTGCATGGTGTATGTGCATATGTTACAACACACATACACAACACATACAACAATGTTGGCTTAATAACATATATCAAAAAATACAGAAACAATACATAATACACAACAATATACATAATACATACAATATATATAGACAACACACATACACACACACATAAGAAAACTACACAAAACACATACACAACACACATACAAACAAAACTACACAACACATATACACAAAACACATACATAGCATAACCATACACAACACATATACACAAAACACATACATAGCATAACTACATAACACACATACACAACGCACATACATAACAAAACTACATAAGACACATACATGAAACACAAACATAACAAAACTATACAACACACATACATAGCAAAACTACATAACACACATACACAAAACACATACATAACAAAACTACATAATACACAAAACAAAACACATACATGTACATAGCAAAACTACACAACACACATACACTAAGCACATACATAACAAAACTACACAACACACATACACAAAACACACACATAACAAAACTACACAACACATACACAAAACACATGCATAACAAAACTACATAACACACATACACAAAACACATGCATAGCAAATCTACACAACACGTATACACAAAACACAAACATAACACACATACACAAAACACATACATAACAAAACACATAACGCACATACACAAAACACATACATAGCAAAACTTCATAACACACATACACAACACACATACATAACAAAACTTCATAACACATATACACAAAACACATGCATAACAAAACTACATAACACACATACACAAAACACATGTATAACAAAACTACATAACACACATACACAAAACACATACATAACAAAACTACACAACACACATACACAAAACACATACATAACAAAACTACACAACACACATACACAAAACATATACATAACAAAACTACATAACACATATACGCAAAGCGCACACATAACAAAACTACATAACACACATACACAACACACATACATAACAAAACTACTCAACAGATACACAAAACACATGCATAGCAAATCTACACAACACACATACACAAAATACATACATAACAAAACTACATGACACACATACGTAACACAAACACACAACACACATACACGACACAAATACGCAGTCGCTTTTGTTTATGTTGTTGTTATGTTTGGTTAAAGTCGCTCTTGGAAACATTCTGCCAGTGTCATTGTGACATGGGCGCTATCGATCGATTCACCTGCCTACAGCAGAAGTAGACCCTTTGTGTCTAGCCTATTGATCAGTTCAACGGGGAATGAAATTGGTATAAAAAACGGAGAGCACACTCTCCTTGACCTTGACTAGACAGTTTTACATTTATACCCCAACACAGGCACGCACAACGTTATATCGGGTGTTAAATTATATTTGAAAAAAAAAAACTTTACAAACTATGCATTTGATATTGATTGGGTTGTCTTTTCCCTTAAGCGCTCACACGTCCCGAAGACTAGATACAATAGATACAATGTTTGAAGCTAATTGTGGTTTTTCCCCGGCATACTCACTCACGCACTCAAGCACTCACGCACTCACTCACTCACTCACTATTTAATAATGAACACAAAACCAAACAACTACTGACAACATCATGGTTCAAACACAAAAGTTGAGTGATAGTTTGTTGGTTGAAATGTTTAAACAGCATTCGAGACTGAGAATGTTTCAGGAAGGATTTGCTTGAACATAGCACGACATGGAACTAATTAAATACATGAAACAAATTCTCACCTTACAAAGCTGAAACAAGCCTCAATACCCCGGGATACTTCGCTCTCAAAACCTCCGCACGTCACACAGCGTTCAAGTACGTGACTTTGAGTGTCAGGGTCACGTTGAGTACACCCACAAGATGACCAGGGTACTAGGCAAATTTTCCAATTTAAAAAACATAAACAAAATCCACCCAACATTTGTCTCAGCATAACACTGTAGTCTGCTGAATTCAAAGATGGCCAAGGGAATGTCGTAGACGGTGTGCAGCTGTTTGTTTTGTAGGGGTCGATAAACAAAGGTCATCGTCCTGACGACGGTTGGCCTTGAGCTTTTTCAAAGTTGGAGGCCTCGCATTCGCTATAACTAACGAATCGATAAACTCCCAAAATAAATCCACAACAGTGACTATGTAAATATGGATCTGATAAGGCCATTTCACAGTGTACGCGGTCGGTGGGGTAGCCTAGTGGTTAAAGCGTCCGCTCGTCACGCCGAAGACCCGGGTTCGATTCCCCACATGGGTACAATGTGTTAAGCCTATTTCTGTCCCCCGCCGTGATATCGCTAGAATATTGCTAAAAGCGGCGTAAAACCAAACTCACTCACTCAGTGCAGTGTACACGTAGCCCTTCAGATTGCTGTATATTGATATGGTGGGGGTATTCAGTAAAGTTCAAGTTTAACTGGCTGGCTCTCAGGACGTGCTGCTACAAGCAAACACATTCGCCTTCATGCAGATTGTTTAAGTGACGGTTACAACAGGCAGGGCTAGACATGTTTACCCTCTTAGTGAACACCTGGTTATAAGAGATCAGTTCAAGAAATTGTCACCGCTAAATAGCGATTAATGCCAAATGGAATCTAAACAGTGACGTTTATATATCTTTTACTACGGCCAACTATTCGGGTAAGTGACCACGTGAACCAATGGATGATAAGTGTGAGTGAGTGAGTTTAGGTTTACGCCGCACTCAGCAATATTCCAGCTATATGGCGGCAATCTGTAAATAATCGAGTCTGAACCAGACAATCCAGTGATCAACAGCTTGAACATCGATCTACGCAATTGGGATACGTGTCAACCAAGTCAGCGAGCCTGACCACCCGATCCCGTTAGTCGCCTCTTACGACAAGCATGGGTTGCTGAAGATCAATTCTCACCCGGACCTTCACGGGTAGGATGATAAGAAGAGTGCTGATACGTTATACATTTAACAACCTGTCTGGTCGATCTTGTAGCCAGTATGTACCTGTTCTGGTCAGGAATCCGACATGTTACCCGACATCTGTGTCTGTTTAATGTTGCTTGTAAACCAGTCTATTTCATATTTATGGTGCACTCATTGCTTAACCAGCCTCTCAAAACTAAACTTAAAATGTCGGTGGATAATCCGTGCTAGAATTGGTCTCAAGGGTCATACCCCACTTTGCCGGACAGCTGATGTGATGATAACGAATTAAGAGTAACGGTCCGCTAGTTTGCCGGCTGTAGTCTGTTTTCAGTTATTACTTGTCACCCATAGGCATTTGGGGGACATGAGCGTTTGGCAGACTGAGTTCGAAATCATTAATTACAAGGCACCAATTTGTTTTGAGTGAACTCGATTTCTAGTAACTGATTTTAGTTAAATCGAATTATATTAGCTGAATTGAGTGAAGCTTATTCCAATGATTTTTTCTGAAGTTTTGCCTGTATATAAAGAATGTAGACATGGTTCGCTCATTGCAAAATGGCAAACGCTCCAGTTAACATTCCAAATTCGAGGGGAGGTAGGTAGACACTTAATCTATCTAGGTCACAAGTTTAGGGTTAAGAGCACAAAAAGGGACCGAGTTCATTTGAAATGTTGTAAGACCGGTTGTCTTGCTACGGCCCACACCGTCAGTGATGTTCTCAGCAGTTCCAGGAACACACACAACCACCATCAAGATCAAGTTCAGTTCAGAAAATATTAATGCATATTTATTTATGTCTTCAGTAAGCATTTTCTCGTTTTCAGAAAATGTACGAAATAGGTGTTTATGAATTTTATCATGAAGATAAAATGTACCAAAAATGTTGAATTGGTGAAATATGAAATATCGAGATGAAGCAACAGTGTGTACTTTCTTAGGCCGAAACAGACTATAAGTTAATAACCTATTGTTTAAAGGATTATCGCGCATCAGTGAATTTTTATCTATAACAAAAGCGTCCGGCAAAACGGGAACCCCCGTCTCAAGATACCTAGGCTGGTTGTTTGGATGCGACCGAATTGGTCAGGTAATCAGGCTGATTCTGTGTCAATGTGACCCAACTCGGTCGTGGAATCAAAGAGGTAAGTATGCACATTGTGTGTGTGCGTGCGTGCCTCTTGCGAGCGTGCGTTCTTGAGAGCGTGCATGTGTGACTGAACAGTTCAATACATTAGGAAACGCAAAAGATGGAGGAATATGTATTTTAAGTACTATTGCTAGATGAAATGACATTTTACATGGTTACTTAGCAACACGAATAACCCTAACATGTATCTCCAATTGCTTTGGTCGTGGCATCATCACCGTTTGATAGTTATTCATAAACACATGCTTATGATTAAGTCGGAATTTCGGCAGAGATTAATGTTGGATGTGTAGACTGACTGACTGACTGAGTTTAGTTTTACGCCGCTTTTAGCAATATTCCAGCAATATCACGGCGGGGGACACCAGAAATGGGCTTAACACATTGTGCCCATGTGGGGAATCGAACCCGGGTCTTCGGCGTGACGAGCCAACGCTTTAACCACTAGGCTACCCCACTGCCCCTGGATGTGTAGAGGGCTCTGTCACTTCTAATGACTGTGGACCCGTGAAGATCCAGGGTAGAATAGGTCTTCAGCAACCCATGCTTGCTACAAAAGGCGACTATGCTTGTAGTAAGAGGCGACTAACAGGATCGGGTGGTCAGGCTCGCTGACTTGGTTGACACATGTCATCGGTTCCCAATTGAGCAGATCGATGCCCATACTGTTGATCACTGGATTTTCTGGTCCAGACTCGATTATTTACAGACTGCCGCCAAAAAGCTGTAATATTGATTAGTGCGGCGTAAAACTAAACTCACTCACTCTAATGACTGTGTACTTAATAGGGCTGCGCAATATAACCGGTTTACCGGTTCAGACATGAAAACGATACGTATGGCGATACGATGATCGAAAACCGGTATTTTGGCATGCATTCAGAAAACTTCGTAACATTCGGAAATCTACGGATATTTCCGTTTTTCACACCGGAAGTCATGCGTTTGTTGTAAAATGGCGACCCTCAACAACGAACAATTTACTGTGATGCCAAATACTGGGGCAAAGGCTTCAGTATGATGTTAAATTAACTCGATTATAAGTAGATTTTTGTTAAAAAATACTTCTTGCAATATATTGCAATACATATTGCAATATATGCTTTCGCATCGCAATATATTGCAATATGAAAATTCTCTGCAATACCCACCCCTAGTACTTAACGAGTTTTTAACTAGACAGAATGTCAGGCTTCAGACAGGTCTGGTAACTAGTAGAATACAATTTAGTGGATGTGTTACGATCCAAACGCATACATAATACAACTTTATTGATTTTCTTCTACATATAATTCATGTCGAAATATGACAGTTGGGACAAATGGGTTGACAGTTAGGAAATAAATAATTTCATGTAACAAGCCTAAATGGAGCACGATTACTTTGTCTCCAAGACAACAGAGAACAGATTAAATAGTCTGATTCAAGTCTAGAATGATCTGGCAAGTCTGTATTGCCTTAGCTCCGTAATCCTTCCAAATCTGCAGTAATCACAAGCGAGAATCTGATCTGTGTTACCAGATAATCTTGCTTTGTCCACTTATGGTTAGATCTGATGTGGGTGACACTGCCATCAAATCTCCAACCTCTGAGTTCCATCTGGATGTTTTCAATTTGTAGATATATATACATATATCTAAAGAAATAAACAAAGACTATTTAAATAAGAAAACTTTATTTCTGTACAGTGCAGCACTCCGTATTCACAATGAATACAATTATGTATCTCCGTGTTACAACTTCAGATAACAATCGATTATAAATATTTATTAATAATAACACACTTTGACGTCGTACAGCCAGTAAGACATGATTAAGATGACCAGTGGCGCTGTGCAGACACCCATGATGTGAAACAAAAGAAGGTCACTAGAATGTGTGATGTCCAGGATATATATGTATATATACAATGCATTCATATTATCCAACAAAGTACGCAACAACACTGAATGGATGGAGTGGAATATCTATACTACTGAGTGATAATCTGTTTCGATACTTTATTTATGTTTTGTGATTCTCAAAGTTCATCGGTAAGTTTGCGTAGCTAAGGAGCAGTACATACTGCCCCAAAAATATTTCATACGAAACTGATAGTCGTTTATGACGTCACTTTATGACGTCACAAATTGATATGGTACGAGTATCTTGTTTACACGATACATGTTTTTCTAAAAAAAAATCCCAAATATAACGTGTTAAGAATAATTATCAACAAAAATATTCTGAAAAAGTGTAGCGGGCTAAAACAAGAGGACAGGGGTTTTTTCATCATATATGTGGAATTTTCATCATATATGTGGCAATTTTGTCATTTATATGGAAGTTTTATCATTTATATGTTATTTTCACAGGGTAGAATATATTTGATATCTGATATTTGCACAAAGAGATCTTAGCTCTGCGATGATCTTAACTCCTATATAATAACATAGACTTAAGACAGCTACAGCACTAAGATCGCTTTGTGCAAGTGGGGCCCGATAAATATGTACAGCATTCAGTATGAAAATTTATACCCTATAACAATACCTAATGATATGAGTGTAAACAAACTGTACATAGAAAATGTATTTCGTACAACATATTATCGTTCGCACTTTGAAACCAGGTATCCATCAAGGGAGCTAAGTATGTGTGTCGACTGCTAACAGTGACAACACCCAGTAGGATCGGTCCCAGTGAAGCGATGCAGATCAGCATACTCGACCATTGATGGAAATATTCCTCTTGTACTATACCATCCAAAAACATTAGGAGATATTGGATTTACAAGATTGATAAATGCAAATGATGAAGTCAAAGAGGAAACAGATGATGAATTAATGGAAATCTGACAATTTATTCAATTCCATGGTTCACCTGTATGGATATATATTACTTTTTCTCATCTCATGTCCCTGTACACTGTAAAAAAAGTGTTTCAAAGATGAAGATAGTTTGGCTTCTTCCAGTGCCATTTAGAAGTATGTGTGATGAACAACGGGGAAAGTACGGTTATACAACTTCTTTAGTATTAATGTTAGCAGCTTTTCAATGTAGAATCTGACACCGTTACCAAGCAAGTGGTGTATAATACTGCAGGAAGGGCTTATATATATACATGAGGCGAAGTTAGTGCAGTAGGTAACGTCGCCGAAACAACGCCTACATTGATAATACAGAAGTTTTATATCCATAGACCTTTCCCATTTGTTAGAGATGATTTAGCATGTTTTAGCACTAACGAAGCCCTTCTGAAAATGCAGATATAACCTATAAGCATCATGTACTGCTTCCTTTAGATTCTGAACTCAGTCAGTCTTCATGTGACTTTTAAGTCAGTGAGTGAGTTTAGTTTTACGCCGCACTCAGCAATATTCCAGCTATACGGCGGCGGTCTGTAAACTATCGAGTCTGTACCAGACAATCCAGTGATCAACAGAATGAACATCGAATGACGTTTAAGACCTATATGAAGCTTCTGAAGTGGGCCAAGCATCAACGACTCAAATATCCCGGTATCAACATAACAAAAGGAAATGTACAGACATTCGCAAATATGGCTGAAGTAAACAGCAAGGAAAGATGTGTGAGCCAATGATTGTAAATACCAACTGAGAAAGATAGCCCTGTATGAATCTGGAAGTTGTAATGCAATGTGAATTTTAAGGAAAAGTTAACTTCAGAATATTTTTCAATTTAGTTTTACATGTGGAAACATGTCTGCTGGTTTCACGCCAGTAGTATCGATTATTCCTATCGTGATGTTGTGGCACACTTCTTCTATCACAGGAACACAAGTCAGTATGTGTCGGAGATGTTTCCCACGACGAATCAACTTAACATGTAAATAAAAATTATGTTATTTACAAAACGTGTAAAAAATGGTGTAACAAACACTTCTATCCCCAAATCACATAATAATCATATTTGCTGATGGCAAATTATGTTAATAAACAAGGCCCAACACACCTTGTACCATCGTCAGGGCCATCAAAGCCAGATGTCACGTACAACACCAACCGACCGCGCATCAACATAACATCATATTACGATATTTGTCTCTCCAGTAACTTCATGTCATTGACCTGTTGCTCTAAATTTGCTTTTTTCGTTTTCAAATTCTCCAACCAGGTCGTCTGTGCTGCATGGGCAGTTATCAGACCATTAATAGCTGCGGTCAGCGAGTCTCTGTTAAACTGACCCTTTAATTGTTCAACTTGCGTCTTCAGAGAGTTGATGGTGTCGATGTTGAGTCCGGGGACGTTCATGATGATGCCCAGCACTCTGCTTGCCTCCGCCTGCGTTCGGAGGACATCCGTGTTGAGGGCTGTGGCGCCCGTGGCGGCGGTGTTGATGACAGTGGTGGCGCCAGCAACGTCGGCTGTAGTGGAGTCACATTTTGTTTTAGCTGGTGCGAGAATTGTCGTGTTGATGGTGGTAGGGAGGATGGACTTGTTCTGGTATACCGTCAGGTCGGACATGATCCCAAGCTGATTGGCAGTCGCCGCTACCCTCGTGATTGCCTGGCAACAAGAGTGAATGAGGTTTATACCCATTTAATAGGCTACATGAATAAAAGTGGTAGGCTACATTCTGTTCCACATGCGAAATAAATGTGGAAAGTGTAATTCCAAATAAAGAAAGTGTAATCCCAAATATAACATATATTACATGCGAAATAAAGTTAATTCATCATTTCGTTCGTTTGTTCCTTCATTCATTCCGGTTCTACATTCCTGTTCTTAATACACCCTACAGCATGATAGACTTCATAACAGGCGGACCAACGATCTACTAGACTAGATCAACTTTGTAAGGCGTAGACGAAGAAGATTGACTGCAACAGAGTAAAAGTTGCAGTAAATATACTGTTTATAAATGCTGCTCATTTATCATAATGAGACATAAAATGTAAATTTAAAGGTACATGTTAAGAAATTGAAATGTTTACATGCCATTTTTAACCACCTCTACATACACGGTCTTCTCTCAACATTCTACAGTGCACGAACTCTCCTAGACTAACAACTAGTCTCTGAAATGAACATATTTTACTGAAAAATGTTCATAGTGAAAAAAAATTATAATATAATGAAAAGGAGCCCTGAGACTTTCTTCATTTTCAGATGAAGCTGAGGAAATCTAGACTTGCCACATGTTCTAGACTTGCGTGGGCTTTCTTGGATATATTTGCTTCAGGGTCTGTACGAGAGACTAGAACTGTCCGTGCATTCAACACAGCTGAATCACAGTGACCTCTCTTGGTCGCTGAGAAATCGCATGATGCGCTCATAAAATATTAACTGATAATTTTGGCCTCTACAAAAGTCATGCATTTTTGCTTTTACAAATTCGTTTTTGCTCAACCACACAATACATGCATTTTTGCTTTAACAAATTTGTTTGTTATTTAACCGCGCAATACATGCATTTTTGCTTTTAACAAATACGTTTTTGTTTAACCGCACAATACATGCATTTCTGTTATAACAAATTCGTTTTTGTTTAACCGCACCCAGTAATGTTCCAGCAATAATACGGCGACCTGTAAATAATCGAGTTTCGACCAGACAATCCAGTGACCAACATCATCAGCATGATCTACTCAACTGGGTTAGGATCACATGTGTCAACCAAGCCAGCGAGCCTGACCACCCGATCCCGTTAGGCGCCTTTTTCGACAAGCATTGGTTGCTGAAGACCAATTCTAACCCGGATTGACGGGTTTGCCTGAACCAATTATGCCGAGCGTTTACACATAGGTTTCCGACTTGGAAACGTAAAAAAACTATCATCAAGCCCACGTGTGTACGCAAACCTGCGGCAAATCGTATGGTATTGTGTCATGGAACGTTTTACTTAGTGATTATATTCTGAAATAGTCCCGTAAAGTTAACCTGAACCTCACGTCACTGTTCTGAGTCGGTGAGGTAGCCTAGTGGTTAAAGCGTTCGCTCGTCAAACAGAAGATCCGGGTTCGATTCCTCACATGGGTACAATGAGAGGGCCATTTCTGGTGTCCCCCGCCGTGATATTGCTGGAATATTGCTAAACTATTGTGTCACGAGACTAATCTATTAATGGTAAGGTGACGTGAGTTAACTTGAAAACAGTTAATAACATACATCATTCTGGGTCTGGGCGACGGTTTTCGCCTGTCGTGCTGTGTCTAGAGCCAGTGACGATGTTTGCTGTGATGTAGCCATCGTCGTCACCAGTGCAGCAGCATCGTCGATGACCTTTTGACTGTCCGCCGTTACTGCCACCGCACTGGCGAGAGACATTATAGCCTGCTGCTCGACCGCTGTAAAAAAAGACATAAGACAGGTGAAAACACGACCAGGAAGGACATATATCTTTATCTTACCGTGCACATAAATGTCGTTTTCTGATTGGCTGAGCGCTCTTTTCTATTATTTTCAATGTACCCCGCTTACAAGCGAGTAAAAGTTTCTACGTTACTTGCTGGGAATGCCGAACTGTAGGAATTTATTTGGTACTTCGTGTTAGTAATTTTTTATTTCGAATAATTGAGTCGCTTATGATGTACGGAAATTACCGATGTTTTTACGAATGCAAATAGATGGAAAGAAGAAAACTCGAAATTGTTTTTCTTGTCTGTAGTTGTCGGTTTTGACTAATTGCCTAACTCTGGTACTCCTTATGATCCGATACCCGTGCTTCAAACAGTTCAAAATTAACACCGAGGTTTCGGTAAGATAAATACGTTGTTCACTGGTCCCTCGGGGCCCATGTGTTGATGTACACCCGGCGTGACCAGTGAACAACTTATAATGACACAATATGACAGGAAAATGGTCAAACTTACATCAGACAAGGTTGACACAAGACCAGATTGTTTTCTCCGAAGTAAAATGCCACATTTTTCAGTATAACTATGGACCCGAGGGTTTTCCTGTATCTCTTGATCATATTATTATAATTATGTTAAATGCCGTACCGAGTGCCCTGCTCTCGAAGTTCCGCATGGTGTCCCTCATGAATTCCGCCTCTTGGAACAGCTTCTCTGAGTTGAGCTTAGCATCCTCCGCCTGTCTCTCCGCCGCCGCAACCCGGGCGTTGATTTCGTTACATTGGTTGATGATATTGTTGGTGTTCATCCGCTGCTGTTCGGAGTTGCTGATGGCTATCGCTACTTTCGCCGCCTTACTGTCCACCTCAGCTTTACCTGCCACAGCCTGTTGACGTAAGGTCAGAAAAGTGGAATTGGTTGTAACACAGGCTTGTAATTGCATTACATATTTTTAGATTCATTAGAGGGTAATGTTGTCCCATTGCAGCAGGTAGACATTTGGGGGCAAGACTAAGCTAAGCTTCAAGAACACCATAGATCAATCCAACATAGAACAGAAACTTCCCGAAGATTTTTAAGACAATACATTGGGGCAAGCATATTCCCCGTCAGCTCAAATTCCACCCATCTGTCTTTAATCGTATAATGTTTGTAGTTTTAATTTATGGCTGAATTGCTCAATATTCGCGAACAGCCGAAGGGATGATGTAAATCGTCCCTTGGGTCCATACAGGGAGCAAAAGTTATGTAAGTACCCCTGGTCCCTAGCATGGGGATCAGTTGCTGGCGATCTGTTGCCCGATTTTATATTGTGTTGATTTGAAATGATTTAGCATTTTACACTGAACTCAAACTAGTTTTAATTAATTGGTGATAATCAGAGCATATTCTTGCTCCTTCATCAGGTGAATGATGACGAAAGAGCAAGAATTAGCTCTGAAACGTATAAAGAATAAAGAAGTTGTTATCCATAAAACGATTATCCATAGTCGTATAAAGAATTTTTTTTAAATTAAAAAATAAGTTTTAATCCATAAAACGTGTCATGTATTCATTTTCGTCCAACTCCTAAATGCCTTTCAAGTTTTTAAAAAGTATAAATATATTTTTTCTTAGTACATAGCATCTTGTCGTCACGCTATGGCTGAAATATTCTCGATGTGACGTAACTTTTAACTCACTCACTCCATCCATCTGTCCCGTAGTGTTATCCTGAACCTCACGTTACCGTTCCGTGGAGGTGGGTAGCTTAGTGGTTAAAGCGTTCGCTCGTCACGCCGAAGATCCGGGTTCGATTCCCTATATGGGTACAATGTGTGAAGCCCATTACTGGTGCCCCCCGCCGTGATATTGCTGGACTATTGCTAAACGGCGTACAACGAAACTCACTCACTCACTCCGTCCACACCAGCGGTTGTCTGATGATCATCTTTTCACCCTGGATATCCAGTCTACTTATAGCATTATCACTGACATTACTGCCATTACCACTGATATCATATTTTATACTGCCATACTAATTTTATAAATAAATATTAATAGGAACAGGAATGAGACAAAGAGTTGTATTTTATACTGCCGTCAACAAAATTCCATCTGTGCCCGGTGATAGACACCAGTTGGTGTCACAAATTAGACCTGTATGTTTATTTTATTTAGTGTTGGTATAGTTTACCTATTATAGCATTGATATAGTTTACCTATTATAGTGTTGGTATAGGCTACCTATTATAGTGTTGGTATAGGTTACCTATTATAGTGTTGGTATAGTTTACCTATTGTAGTGTTGGTATAGTTTACCTATTATAGTGTTGGTATAGGCTACTTATTATAGTGTTGGTATAGGTTACCTAGCATAGTGTTGGTATAGTTTACCTATTATAGTGTTGGTATAGTTTACCTATTATAGTGTTGGTATAGTTTACCTATTAAAGTGTTGGTATAGTTTACCTATTATAGTGTTGGTATAGTTTACCTATTATAGTGTTGGTATAGTTTACCTATTAAAGTGTTGGTATAGTTTACCTATTATAGTGTTGGTATAGTTTACCTATTATAGTGTTGGTATACTTTACCTATTACATTGTTGGTATAGTTTATCAATCACTTACCAATGCCTTGGTGGCCTCTAAAGTATTTCTAAAAGCTAGGAAAGTTGTGTTCAGCTGTTGTAGTTTCAGATCCAGGTTGTTGAACTGGATGCTTTCGTTCTGCAGGCGGATAGCTGTAGCCAGGGTCGAGTTGCTCTTTGCTTGAATCCTTTCAGCTTCAGCGAGAGCTGTGGTGGACACAGTCTCAAGGACGGAGTCGATGTTGTCGAGCCTGGTGATGTCGGTAGTGGTGTTCCGATGCAATATACTCAGATTGCCTGCAGTCTACAACAGAGAGCATCTCTTGTATGGGTACCTTTGTCAAACAGTTGCCAATATGAATCCATGACACGTTTTATGGATGACAACTTATTTGTATTTTCACACGACGTTTCAGTGATAATTCTTGCTCCTTCATCAGGTGACTGAACAACCGAAATAATTCAACTGAAGAAGCAGCAGACATTAGCTCTGAAACGTTGTGAAAAGAATAAAATGAAGTTGTTATACATAAAACGTGTCATGTATTAATGTTCGTTCAATTTCTAAATGCCTTTCAAGAACGCCATTTGCTGAACTTATGTGATTGTGTTCAAGGGATAAACAACGTTGATCTGCAGCCGATCTTTTTCATCTTTTTCAGAATAAGGGAATCGAATATGTGTGTACAAATAGACATGAAAATTCTTAAACCACCTGGCCATTCACAGGTTTGCCACTTACCGCGTAGTCAGCAATGGACCTGTTGAGCGACAATGTAGATATATGTTCTATCTCATCAACAGTGGCCATAATTGTGGTCACTTGTGACGACGCATCCGACGACAGGGACATCAGGTACGTCTGCACCTCTTTCAGCGACGCCACGAGGGAGGTCAAGGACGTCCATATCTGGGTCAGTGGACCTGGATGAAAGGGCAATACTAACATGAAGAATAACATATGTCAACAATTAAGTAGGTTATTAGGATTGTACCTCGGCAAATTGTCCCCAGCAATTTATTCTTGCCAGGAATCTATTCTTGTAGCAGGAGTGGACACAATTAGAACAGTGAGGTCACTGGACCACTGGCCCACCTTTAAAGCATTAACCCACCACTCTACCACTAACCCACCGTCCCAGCACTACCTTCCCTCCCACAAGCCTATCTACTCCTACCTCACACTTCACCCACGACCTATTTACCTTTCGCTGCATAGATATTCTTGATGTTTGCTACTGCCTGGTCCCTCTTCGAGCTGGCCCCGGTCAAGGTCAAGGTCGTTTCTTCGATGAGCTGCTGTATGAGCGGGAGATCTGAACTGTTGCCAGTGTTGAGGTCAGAGGTCAAGGTCATCAGTGTGTTGTTAAACTGGTCGATCATGCTCTGAGTTCTGGCCTCCTCTGCGTTGGCATCATTCAACTGAACAGGAATGAGACAAAGACTTGTATTTCATACTGCCGTCAACAAAATTCCATCTGTTCCCGGTGATAGACACCAGTTGGTGTCACAAATTAGACCTATACGTTTATTTATTTTTTAATTTTTTTTACGCCGCACTCAGCATTATTCCAGCTATATTGCGGCGGTCTGTAAGTAATTGAGTCTGGACCAGACAATCCTGTGATGAACATCATGAGCAACGATACGATGACATGTGTCAACCAAGTCAGCGAGCCTGACCACCCAATCCCGTTAGTCGCCTCTAATGACAAGCCTGGATTACTGAAGACCCGGATCTTCACGGGTAGGACCTCTATGTGGTGAAACAGACAATGTCTTCCGTGTGACGACCGAACAATGTGGAACAATGTCTTGGACTAGACGTATCAGTGATAGGGCTGAAACTAATCTAACTGCTGGATTGGTGTGTGTGGTAAAGATTAGTCATGTTAGATTTACTTTGTAGAACTACTCAATGGGATGATTGTTACCCCTCTTCCGATCTGGAGCTGCTAATTTGGTCGATTGGATGCAGTCTTCGATCTCGACCTGTGCGGGTTGATTGTAAGCCATAGTCCAACTTAGACCTGCTAGATTTGTCCATTGTTAGCCTAGATCCAATCTATCACTGCTAAAAGAGTTGATCACTAGCCCTGTTTCGATCCAGAACTGCTAAATGGGTCGATTTTTAGCAATGTTCCGATCTAGAAAAGCTTAAAGGGTCGATTGTTGGCCGGGTTTTTTTTTCATTCTAAACTAGCATTGCTAAATGGGTGGAGAATAGCCCTGTTTCGATCTAGAACTGCTAAATGGGTCGATTGTTAGCAATGTTCCGATCTAGAAAAGCTTAAAGGGTCGATTGTTGGCCGGGGTTTTTTTCATTCTAAACTAGCATTACTAAATGGGTGGAGAATAGCTCTGTTCCAGTCTGGACCTTCTAAAGTGACGAATTTATTCCGTTCAACTTACGAAATTAAGAAGTCTGTCAAGGGACCTCGATGCGTTGTCGACCCTGTCCACAAAGTTGCCAAGTCTCTTGGTGTCATCGTTTGCGTTGAGGGTGGACAGCGTGTCAGTCATGTTGGTGAGTAGTCCTCGCAGTTTGTCCGTCTCCTTCATCACGAGCTTGTAGCACTGGTCACACTCTGACACAGCGACAAAGGTCAAGGTTAACGAAAAGCATCAAATGTTACGTCCTTGCATAATATAGTGTCAGCTTGCATGACTTTACTTCATTACAGGGCAAAGGCCATGTCTGGTTCTGTTGCGTACCAGGAACGTGTGGCCGTTGGTCGAATCCCAGATTTGCATTAATACTGTTCATTGGTTTGTGTGAACCATACCCGTGCAGGATAAGCTGAAACGTCGTATATCCGAAATACTGCTCAAACTCACTCACTCACTCTAACTTAATATCTATCACTCTCAAGTCCAATAATTCGTATCGAGTTATGGTAGTTATCCTATAGGCCTACCTTGACAAGCCGGCACTGCGAGGTTGTGCTAGTTATCCTATAGACCTAATCCGATATATAACCCGACACTGCGAGGTTATGGTAGTTATCCTATAGGCCTACTCCGATATATAACCCAACACTGCGAGGTTATGGTAGTTATCCTATAGGCCTACTCCGATATATAACCCGACACTGCGAGGTTTTGGTAGTTATCCTATAGGCCTTTTCCGATATATAACCCGACACTGCGAGGTTGTGCTAGTTATCCTATAGGCCTACTCCGATATAAAACCCGACACTGCGAGGTATTGTAGTTATCCTATAGGCCTACTCCGATATATAACCCGACACTGCGAGGTTATGGTAGTTATCCTATAGACCTACTCCGATATATAACCCGACACTGTGAGGTTATGGTAGTTATCCTATAGACCTACTCTGATATATAATCCGACACTGTGAGGTTATGGTAGTTATCCTATAGACCTACCTTGACAACCCGACACTGTGAGGTTATGGTAGTTATCCTATGGACCTACCTTGACAACCCGACACTGTGAGGTTATAGTAGTTATCCTACAGACTTACCTTGACAACCTTGACAACCCGACACTGTGAGGTTATAGTAGTTATCCTACAGACTTACCTTGACAACCAGACACTGTGAGGTTATAGTAGTTATCCTACAGACTTACCTTGACAACCAGACACTGTGAGGTTATTGTAGTTATCCTATATACCTACATTAACGTCCCGACACTGTGAGATCATGGTAGTTATCCTATAGACCCACTTAGACATCCCGACACTGTGAGGTTATGGTACAACCTGACACTGTGAGGTATCCTATAGACCCACCTTGACAAGACAGACACTGTGAGGTGAGGTTATGGTAGTTATCCTATAGACCCACCTTGACAACCAGACACTGTGAGGTTATGGTAGTTATCCTATAGACCCACCTTGACAACCAGACACTGTGAGGTTATGGTAGTTATCCTATAGACCCACCTAGACATCCTGACACTGTGAGGCTATGGTATTTATCCTATAGACATCCTGACACTGGTTATGGTAGTTAGTTATCCTATAGACCCACATTGACAACCAGACACTGTGAGGTAATAAGTGGTAGCTATCCTATAGACCTACCTTTGGACAACCCCGACACTTTATGGTATGCTACCTTGACAACCAGACACTGCGAGGCTATAGACCCACCTTGACAACCAGACACTGTGAGGTTATGGTAGTTATCCTATAGACCCACCTTGACAACCAGACACTGTGAGGTTATGGTAGTTATCCTATAGACCCACCTTGACAACCAGACCCTGTGAGGTTATAGTAGTTATCCTACAGACCTACCTTGACCAGACACTGTGAGGGTCATAGGACCTTTGACAACCCGACACTGTGAGGTTATAGTAGTTATCCTATAGACCCACCTTGACAACCAGACACTGTGAGGTTATGGTAGTTATCCTATAGACCCACCTTGACAACCAGACACTGTGAGGTTATGGTAGTTATCCTATAGACCCACCTTGACAACCAGACACTGTGAGGTTATGGTAGTTATCCTACAGACCTACCTTGACAACATGACACTGTGAGGTTATGGTAGTTATCCTACAGACCTACCTTGACAACCAGACACTGTGAGGTTATTGTAGTTATCTTCACACTTGTCACACTGCCTTCCGGTCACGTGGGGAGCACACACACACTGACCGCTGGTCTTGTCACAGAATGTACCTGCTGTGGTTCCAGGTGTGGAACAGTTACAGTCTGGAAAGAAGCAAAAGTAAGTCAGACAGAATAAGGAAGCCGTAACTACCCACCTCTACACTCAACTATATCTTAATGTCTACTTAACCATATCTTTCAAAACGCTTAACTGTCGCTTAGTGTCCATTTAGGTGTATCTCAACATCAGCGTAAGCACATCTCTCGACCCTTTAAGCACAAACTTACCTGTACCTTAAAGTCATATTAAAGGTCACATGCAACGTAAAACACAACTTTGCAGATTCTGATACCTTTCGGTATGGACTTACCGAAACAAATCGTCAAAAATGCAAATTCAACTTATAAAGTTGAAAAATAACGCGATGAAAAAAAACGCGCCAAATCGGAGTTCAAACGTTTCACTAATTTTCCCCAGACTTTTCTGGGGAAAACGGGGTTCAACAGCTGGGCTGCGCTTATAGCACGTGCGCAGTGAAGTAGGTTCGCGCAGCTTGGAAGCGGTTGTCCGGTGAATACTCGGTGAAGGCTTTGGTGTGAGCTATTTTTCTAATGTTTTGTTGATATCTCACAGGCGCGAGCTTTTTATATGTTATGACAGTAAATTAACTGTTTATATTTAGTTTCATTTGTCTACACGTTCTTCTTACCGAGTCACTTTCTCAGTTCGAAACTTGAAAGCAATGTCATTATTTAGCGTTGACACAATTTCTAACTGTGATATAGATATGTCGTTGTCACAGACAAAACTCAATGTCTTGTTTTATTGACACCTGTGTGTCTGCCTGCCTGTCTGCTAATGACAATATTCAATACACAGCTGCTATCACTGACCACATGCAATTTGAACTTAACACCAATCAGGCTATACACCATAAACAAAATGCATTGATTTATGGCCCGAGTTCGGTCTCTGTCACATTTTGTAATTACACAGACAGGCAGGTGTGATACTTGAACACATGACATGTTATGATGTCTGTTGATTGCAAAATGTTATACACAAAAAATGAGCATGTATTTACAAAACCCAACATCTCTATATATACACACACAATCAGCCGTGAGGGCATCTGCAAATGAACCAGCCGTTACACTTGAGTGCACACCCACCCGCTCTGACTGGGTTCGGTATCCCGACTGCTTCGTTTCTTGGGAAGTAAACCGAAGTACATAATATTGCACTTTTGATTTGCGATTGTACGCTTACAATTTTGTTTATATGTTTTTTCATAACCAGCAATGTATATTATATGTCATGAATAAGTGATAATTGTCTTTTAATTATGTTTGATTTTTTGGTTGCATGTGACCTTTAAGTATTTCTATCGATACTTAACTGTATCTTAATGTCAACTCAAGTACATCTCTCTATACATCTCAGTGTTGTTTCAAGCATGTCTCACTATACACCCACCTATCTGTCCTACACACTCAACTGTACATTTATGTCCACTAAGTTATACTTTATTTTCACTTTATTACATCCTTGTCTTTACTGAAGTCAATCTTCGTCTACACTAACTCCAGCTTTATCTACACTTGACTGCATCTATATCAACAATACACTGTATCCTTTTCTACACTTAAATGCCTCTGTGTCAACACTTCATCTTTCTCCATCCTTAACTAAATCCAGTATTTTCACATTACTACTTTTAAATAGCCTGGGGACAATGTAATGCCAGACGTACTGGCACCTGCTACAGCATCAGAATACAGAAGATGGCAGTCGAGGACGTATCTGTGCCTTACCTCTACATCCATCTGCACCAAGGCCCCAGAATCCGTCAACGCAGGCATTACATTCCGGTCCGACAAGAACATTAGCAGAGCAGTTCTCACACTTGTCACCTGTTGTACCGTTCCGGCAGTTGAGACAGAGCCCGGTCGTTTCATTGCACAGTACCTGGCCGGAAGTCCGTCCGCTACAGTCACACGCCACGCATACGTCGAAGCGAGTGTCATTCTGCACGGGTGCGGAACGCCTATTACCTTCACCGCAACTCTCACACGACAAACCTGAAAAAGTTAGGAGAACCTTTAATCCTGGTTGTATGTGACTGGCATCCATTGTTTCCATGCATACAACTTGATAATTGGCCACTTTTACTCCACGCCGCTGGGACATGCTCTAAGCGCATACAGCATGATGGACATTATTACCCCGGATAACCCAAGCTGTCTGTGAGGCGATTGAAGGGTTATAGGCACATGACTTATCCCACCGGGTACCCATTTTCTGCTGGGTGAAGAGAGGATTTTTTTAACAAACCCACTTGCCTATGGTGTGACTACATAGCACATCGAGTTTGTACATCATACACTGATTGCGGATATTTAAGTTAACCTTGAGCCATGAAGACAGCTCAACATCCCCAAATACACCCCCTCCCATGAATCCCCCCACAACACCACGCACGAACGTAAGTAGCGACTCACCACCAACTTTGTCTGCTACATTACAAGTGCAGTTCTCTACGAAACTAGCGCCAAGTTGAGCCGTGATGCCAGCAGAGGCTGTCGCCGTTGCCATGGTTACAGCTGAAACGTCTGTTGGAGTTGAGTTTATCACGTTTTTTGAACATCAGATGTGTTATAGATGAGAGAATATCTGAAATAGTATTGCGTATTAGATTACCTCATGTTTCATGCCGAAGTAGTGTTTTAAGGTTATATGCTAGTTTTAAGTGCAAATCTGTGATAGACTAATTATTTTATTTTCCTATCAGACAGGTAATTATATTAAGTTTGTTCCTAATTATTTATAAATTTACAGATTTACAACTTTCATACACAAAACACTGCCGATGAGACTTTAAATTTTAACTCACTCACTCACTCATAGTTGTTATCATACCGATAAACAACAACAGGTTATCTGTTAATGCGTGAGTATGGTTTACACCGCTTTTAACAATATCTAAGCAATATCCTTATGGAGGTTACAGGAAATAGGCTATACACACTGTATCCATATGGAGGTTCAGAGGTTACCCCACCACCCTATACACACTGTATCCATATGGATGTTCAGAGGTTACCCACCACCCTATAAATGTTCTTGGAGGATTGAGAAGCAGTCACGGGCGAAACTTACTGTACATCTGGTTCGGGGAAGGATTCTGGTTGTTGAGGAGCCAGTTCTCGGGAAACAGTCTTGTTTGGATGAGGTTCCTACCGGCTGTAGTCGGCGCCAAATGCCTATACACAAGTTCCGCCCCTAGCAAACACAATGGAAACATATGGGATATACATATGGGATATGCACGGCACAAGACGCAATCAGGTATTTAATACGGCAACTTAACTCCAGACAACCCAAGCTGCCTGCTAGGCGCTAGAAGGTTAATAGTCATATGACTTATCCTACCGGGTACCCATTCTCTGCTGGGTTAACAGAAGCACTTTTCAACAAACTCACTCGCCTAAGATGAGACCGCATGTGGCCCGTATGCTTCATTGTGAGTCAGGACAGATGTCCTAGAAACTCTCAGAAGACCATACACAACCGTTTTCTGTGATATCACTTGGTTCAGGAACAGATTGTAAATTTCCTGTTTAACGTTATATTGAAGTTAGCACCGGGTGTCATCAATGATTATATACTCCCAATCAAAACTCATTGTGCTCTTGTTGACTTTGAATATTTATTAACTCCCATATCAAATATCTTTGTTAAAATATCGAGTCTTCTTGTGTTGGCTACATTTAATTACAGACCATATTTGGTAATAACGACATAGCTTAACCCAAGGATCTGAAAAAGATATTGAGCACATTGACTGCCAATGACTGGATTAAAGAATATATTTATGAAACGCCTTCTGTTGCTGTGAAGTGAAGCAGTTAAAAAGCAAAAGTGTCAAAAGAAATCAGTTACCATGGCTTTATCTATTATAGTGTACACGAGTTCACTCTTACCAGCTCCTCGCACGGTAATGAGCGACTCCTGTGAGACATTACCCCCCGTTAGGAACATATCAGCAATGATCAGTTGGCCATAAGAGGAGCTTTTGTCTCCAAGGTAAGCTTCCGGTGCAACAATACTGGTTCCATCGACAGTCCATCCAGTAGTTCTGCAACACACAGTTGTCATAGAGGAAACATATTCATAACAGAATTGACATTATATATTTACATTTCTCCACAGTTCCAAAGGTCTCTTATTAAGATCGATCAAATTTATCAGAACAAGGATAACCTCATAAAAGAAATGTGTGTTAACGACATAGCATCTGAGTATTTAATGTCTAGTCATGACATTAATGATTATATCCAATGACATTGTATCTGGTAGTACTTACGTCGCCGATGTGATGTTGTTCTCAGTAAAGCCGTCAGCCGCTGCACAGGCGGTGCTATGGTTGAAGCAGAAACAAGGCTGACAGCCTCTAGGATTGTATCCCGCCAGATTGAAGAATCCCGCTTTACACTGATTGCACTTGCTGCCCTGGACGTTGTCCTTACAGTTGCAGACCCCGGATGCAGCTTGACAGGTCAAGGCCGTGCTACCGTTAGGGTCACAGTCACATTTCCTGAGGTCATAAGGTCAAAGGTTCAAGGATATTCATTGAAATTTCTGTCATATTAAGATAATCCAAACTATGTTTCCCATACCCCATCCACCCTGAACTTTCATTCCGAAGACGTTTTTTATCTCAATTTTCACCAAACAAAGTTCGTTTAACCTTTCATCATCTATCATTTCTTTTTTTTTTAAATTTTATACAATACGGTGAGTGTAAATGTGTTTTGCCCAAAGTAGTTTTCATACAAATAGTACTTACTGACAGCCACTGGCGTTGAAGTTGTAGTAAGAATCTTCACAAACGTCACATTTCATTCCACCAATCGTTGGCTTACACGGGCACTGTCCAACCAAACTGCACTGTTGTCCAGTTGCTCCATCGATACTGCATCCGCAGTCAACGCAACCATTTGGTCCGTAACCATAGTAATTAGCCAGACATGCGCGGCACTGAGTGTCACTGGCGTTTCCGCTCGCGTCCAGTTGCCCAGCAACAGCAATGTTGAGGAGACACTTGCACTGCCCAGTGGTGATGTTACAAGCACCATTGGCAGATCCGTACGGGCCGCAGTCACAGGCTGTAATAGAACCATGAAACGTACACATATATGTCAGTGTACATTTGTATGTTACTTAAGGTCAGAGCAAAAGTTCATTAACCCTTACCAAAGAATATTGTCAAAAAGATCAGAAAAATAATTAGTTTGAAAATGAGGAATTTGGCAAACCGGGCGAAAATGTAAAGATAAAACAAAAAAGCAATAGAATTCAAAATGTCTGAAATACTACCTATGTGTACCCGGTTCTTTCAGTAGCAGCGGCGGTTGTGGTCCTTTTTGTTTGTTGGACAAGTTCATTAAGTTATATTTATATATTACAGAATAAAATAAATACAAACTACACTTTGGCCTAAAATACAAAATATACTGTTCCCTTGGCACAGTACATAGCGTGCCTGAAAACTTAACAAGCCTCTCAATTCCCCCTCCGCTCTCACAGCACACACACGCACACTTGCACGCACGCACGCACGCATACACACACACACTATCGGTGGTTCCTAAGAGAGCCACATGTAATTATTCAACTCTTGCACAGCTTCCGCCTTATCAAACAATGACAAATGCAAACTACAGTTGATGGTTTAATTGATCGAGGAATTTGCATATATTACATATTACAAATGCTATATACTGCAGTGAAAAAAGATATTATACACCCAAGTGTATATTTGGATAACAATTAAACAAACAGTAAATGAACGTTATTGCATGGTGATAGTTGACGATGGTAGTAATGGCGATATTGCACGACATCAATGAGTACCTGGCTACTTACGTTCTGATAGCGCTGGGGCAAATTACATTTTCAATATATTCTTTTTCCAGGAGGTTGATAAAGAATGCCACATGTATGATATGTCATGTAAACACTGCCATGATTTAAAACATACTTGATATGATTGATGACGTACGAGACAGATGTGTTGTATATTTCATTTGTGACATACCCATGTGACGTCATTACTCACGTCATATAGCCTCGACGTGAACATCAGTGTGTGTAATATTATTAATATTATATAGACTCACATTTATATACACTTTACCTGATTGTTGACCGGTTGTATTGCTATTTTATTTCACACACAGCATATATACACAGTGCAGTGATTTTCGATCTTCTATATATTGACAACACAAATGTCGGCCTATTGCCATTATGCACAATATCATTTATATTTCTTTTTGTACATTGGCCGATGGCCTACAAACGGAAATAAACTTCTTCTACAGTACATATATACACAGTGCAGTGATTTTCCAGACAGCTACTGCTTAACTGACGACTCTATTATAAGTAATATTAACATATACAGACAATATGATATATGTTACACACACTACACCGATCTTTATCCAACTGACATATATTCATGGATTACTGCTGACTGACTAGGATGGCTTCCTCGTTATATAGCCACTCTGGCAATAATGCATAAATCTTCCTGGACAAACGTTGGCGTAACAGCCATGGTAGACCGTGAATTCAGTATATTGAACAAGTTGTCGCTGTGTCTTGTGACCATCGTCAACCAACTCGGGTTCAGCATTGAAAATATATGAATTGGATTCTATCGTAACTGACAAATGTTTGCAACACATTCTGTACTATTGGAGTTTGCTTTGTTCAGAATAAAGGTTCAAATCATTTAAAATCATTCCCTCTATCTTAACAGTGGGACAGCCTTAGTTCGGACACCGTACCCCTGTCAATCCGGACACAGATTCTGTTTGGAACATTTTGTATAAAAACGAAGGACATTACTTCTTAAACACTCCTCTAAAAACGTTTACATATTTTTATATTACTTCCTTTGCTTAGTATATTACAGTTTTAATCCAGAGGAATCTTAATCTGGATCCGATTTCATCAGGATGAATGTTATTCGGATTAAAGGGGTTCAGGTGTCCCTTGCAAAGACCAGGCCCCTATGATCGTGGATTCTAATCCAAGTTCCCTTGAATGATTCTAGGTTTGTCAGAGACACACACCCCGACTGGTTACCATCACGCACTCACTCACTAACTCACCCACTCACGTGTGCGCACTAACTCAGTGTACAACTCAGTGCATGTACAAGGGAGAGAATTGGAGTATGGCGTTTCAAACCACACTCTACATGTGTTTCAGTAAATGTAACACCTGACTACACGAGAGAACCATTGACTTCATCATAAGAATCATATCCAGCATAGTTCATGGTATTCTGTTGCAGAAGATTCTCGTTGAAACAATTGTCATCGACAGCTGTGTTGTAATCGTCAACATTGTTTTGATTGTCGTCGGCGAGTTTCACCGGTTTAATACTCTTAAGTTTCTTTCGCTTCGGTTTGCTTGGAGCTGATGGCTTTGATACGGTTATAACCGGAAGTGTTATTGGGTTATCGGACTTGAATGTGTCAAAAGATGGCGGAGGAGGGATGATATCGGATGGCAACGTCTCTGCGTTACACGTTCCCGTCTCCGAGTCCTCTGTCGTTGATACTCCATTAGAATAATCACCGTGCACTATACTCCTCGCTTCGGGCTGTCCATCACTGAGTTGTGTCCCTTGAGCGAAGAAAAACGCAGGTATTTCGTCATACTCTGAATCCGACCTTGTATCTGACGGCGAAGGGGAATAACCCATATTGGTGTTACCTGCAGAAATCCATGTTACTTTACGATCGTTAATTTCCTTGTGGGTGTGGTTTCGCGGGTCATGTGACCCAAGATTACCCCCGGGACCTTTGTTGATAACCCGGATGTTCTTCCTCCTCTCAGGGTGCTTTTTCAAACAGGTGATATGGCGTGTTATAAACCCAGGATGTAACCACAGAAAGGCTATACATGCAAGAAAGACGGCGCACAGTGTAAGTCCCAGTGCGATAAACAAGCCGGTGGTGTCAGGCGTGTCTGAAAAAGGTCCTGTCTTTGACTGGAGTGTTGCAGATGTAGGGGGAGCTAACTCTGGACAGGGCCTTAACGGACATTCTGTAGAAAAGAGAAAGAAACCTGTGCCTTATGTGACGTACAACATATTCGTATATAGTTGCTTTACTTGTTTATCTACACCCAGTCTCAGATTTACCCTGATAAGGTGTGTCGCCACGACCCCTGTACATGACTGACTGACTGACTGAGTTTGGTTTTACGCCGCTTTTAGCAATATTCCAGCAACATCACGGCGGGGACACCAGAAATGGGCTTCACACATTGTGCCCATGTGGGGATTCGAACCCGGGTCTTCGGCGTGACGAGCCAACGCTTTAACCATTAGGCTACCCCACCGCCCCTCCCTGTACATGAACGTTCAACAAAGCGGTAAACGCATATGACTTGAATTGATTTCCATGTTTCTCATTTTGTTCGCCATAAACAATTTATCTTGCTTATGCGGCGTCTTAACACAACTGAATAACTCGATACATGATAAATGGGGATTATATGGCTCGGTGTCAGCGGATCGTGAAGATCATGGTACATATAATGTATTAGCAAATCCTTACAGCAAAGGGAGGCAACTCCACACACTATAAACACGGGAAATCGTTCGCATTAACAACAAGCATGATTACTGTTTTAGGGGAAGTTTACTTTAAATATATGAATTTAAAGTTTCCAAACATTTCTGGAGTTCAGTGTACTTGTTGACAGGGGTGCTCTCCGCATAATTATTATTGAAGCTTTGTTATAGAACCGTGTCATCTTGCCACATCTCAAACAAATTCCGAAACATGACTGGACATGCACAACTGTGGCTGATTAGTGAGTGTTTGTTAATAACTAATGTGGTTGTCTGACAATAAATGAAAATGCGTCCGTTATCTTGTTGTTTTTATTTATTCAGGCTAATGGTCTTTACAGTCATGTAGTCTACTGCCTTGTAACAAACGCTTTACTGCAAGATAAGTAAACGCACCATAAGAATACCACACAAATATCAATGACAGCCATAACATAACATATCCGAATATCTTTAACAACTCAATTTTACTGAAGTTATAACTGCATAAGGTTTTGTAGACAGACACCCGACACGTTGTCGGCGCTTTTCTCGTGCAAAAACAATAATAGAGTTACCTCCCTTGGTTACGTGTAAGGTTTTTTGTTTTCTAGTCGCACTTCGCGATCTACAACAAATGACAGTATTTGTCTACAACACAAACAATGGCGGGAGGGCAGCTTCCTACCAGCACGTGTTGGCACAGCGTATCCGTGCAAAAGTATCTACCGTACACTATTTTTAAAGTATACTAGCCACATAAAGAAACTGTGCATTGTCAAAATATTATCCCAGTTGATAAGTACGATAACAACGTCAAAGGTACATATAAACTTTAATGGGGGGATCATGAGACCATAACAAGTCGGGAGAATTTCAATTGAAAAGTCAATCACAATGACGTCACGAGTCCACAAGCGGGACAGGGGTCAAACGACCATGTCACAAGCTCAATAACGGGTATGTCCACCATCGGCATTGAGAACAGCAGTGCATCGACGACGCATAGAGCCTATCAAACGTGCAAGGAAGGCTTGTGGGATGTCAAGCCAGATTCTCTCAAGTTCTGTTGCAAGGTCAAGGACGTTATCCGGCGGATGAGGAAGACGGCGTAGACGTCGATCCATCTCGTCCCAAACATGCTCTATCGGGGAGAGATCCGGTGAATTTGCAGGCCAAGGCAGTAAGTCAACGCTGTGGTGTTGCAAGAAATCCATAGCAACCCTTGCCGTATGAGGGCGGGCATTGTCCTGTTGGAATGTTAACCATGACGTTGCAGAAAAGGAATTGCCACAGGTCGAAGAATCTGATCCCTGTAGCCCACACCAGTTAAGTTGTCCTGAACAATCACCAAAGGAGTTCTTTGGCGTGCTGTTATTCCACCTCAAATCATCACGGAACCACCACCAAAGCGATTCCTCTCCAAGACATAGGCCTGTGCATAACGTTCTCCCACGCGTCTATAGGCACGTTGACGTCCATCACTATGGGAAATGTTAAACCTGGACTCGTCTGTAAAAAACAACATTTCTCCACCAAAACAAGGGTCTGCGGACATAATTTCGGCACCACATTCGGCGAGCTTGTCGATGACGTTGTGTCAGGATAGGCCGTATGGCGGGACGTCGTGGTCTGATCCCGTGATGACGTAAACGTTGTCGAACTGTGTTGGGGTGGATACGGCGAAGTCCTGGGATGGTTCGGGCAGTCATCACTGCAGTCTGAAACCTGTGGCGCAGATGGGTCACCCTTATCCATCTGTCCTGTCTTGGCGTTGTTACACGTGGACGTCCAGAACGTGGCCGATCGATGACGTCATTTGTGTTCTGGTAGCGTCTCACCAGTGCAGAAATGGTGTTCCGGTGGCAGTGGAAATGTGCAGCCACTTGTCGTTGAGACATTCCGCCACAGACCATCCGAATGGCCTCATGATGTTGTGCAGACGTGAGCCTTGGCATGCTATGCGTTTCAATAGCCGTTTAATTTTTTGAATGATCGCAAGGGCAGGGGTTGAGCTTTCCAAAGTGACAGTATTGTGTGGCATTCATTTACTCTGTTTCTCTTTCCCGGAATGCACGTGCAACAACGTATTGCACGTCTCAAGGACGAACCCACTGCCGTCACGGAACGTGGCACGTGCATGCACTAATCTCTGAGTTTAAATCCTTATGTGTCTACACAGGTTTGATAAATTTAGATTTTAAATTTTTGTATGCACAGTTTCTTTATGTGCCTAGTATATTTTTAAAATAGTGAGTGAGTTTAGTTTTACCCTGCTTTTAGCAATATTCCAGCAACATCACGGCAGGGGACACCAGAAGTCGGCCTCACACATTGTACCCATATGGGGAATCGAACCCGGGTCTTCGGCGTGACGAGCGAACGCTTTAACCACAAGGCCACCCCAACACCCTGTTTATCAATGAACCTTATGAATTGAGACATTAGTTAGAACAAGAACTTAAAACACCCCTGATTACTGAGGATGAGTATATGATTTAAACTTACTTGCGTCAATAAAACCACGATGTCTTCATCTTCTGTTCAGGTGACGATCCTCGGAATGAAATATTTTGCCGGAATGTTCTTTTTTATTACATTTTAATCCCAAAACAAGAAAAAAGTCGAAATGACGTTCAAGTATATTCTTAATCCCCTCTACCAGTGAAAACATGCAGACGTACAACAGTCGAAGAGAATATGACAAGAAATGGATGTCAAAAATGAGGAAAATCACAAAAAACGTACACCATTTTGAGAAGTTTCAAATAGAAAATTGTAGTAAAATGACACATAAATATCTATCCTATCGTAAAACACTATTCTATAGCTACTAAAACATAGATTTTAAAAATATTTTTATGAATTCAGAGCAAAATACGACTTATTAAAACTTGCCTCATTGGTATAATTAACAGTTGTGAATAAGTAACTAAATAAACACACTCAAACTACATTTTAGTTATTTTCAAGTCGAAGCTGGAAGATGCAAAACTGTCTTCAGACATGTAGGAGACGCGTTTTGTCTGAGATCATGTGTGCATGTGCGTGTGCGTGAGGGTGTGCATGCCTGTGAGTCGCCTCCTACAATAAGTGTTCCACTGGTCGGAAGAACACCTGAATCGTATCTTGGTACATGGCGGAAGACTACTGAAAGGCTAATGAACAGCTTTTGCCAATATTACAGCAATATCTCGGCGGGGGACACCAGAAATGGGCTTCACACATTGTACCCATGTGGGGAATCCAACCCGGGTCTTAGGCGTGACGAGCGAACGCTTTAACCACAAGGCTACCCCACCGCCCCTGCGCTGCAAAGGATGAGTGAACGAGTGTGGTATTACACCGCCTTTAGATTTATTCCCGCAATATCACGGCGTTCGTTACAAAAAGAACACCGGCTTTACCACTGGGCTTTGACAGACGTGTTTATATGTTACCAGGGAAGATGTTAGACTTAACACGATTCAAACACGGCCCATTTGCTTTCATAAAGGTTTACTCGGGCCGTGTACTGAGTTTTCAGACGTTTCGTTTGACAGATTTCGAGAAGGAATGGTAAGTGTGATTTTTAATCATTGACACAATTACGTTGATCACCATTGCTGAGACTGACGGAGATTCCTTCTTCCACTTAGGTCGGTACTGTCGGAGTTTACACTGACTTCTCAAAGCAAACGTTGAGTGTCATATTGTGCTCTGAATTCACAAAAACATGGAGGAATACTCACCTGTGCATCCACTGGAGGAGAGATTGTAGTAGCCGGGCATACAGACGTCACAGCGGCGTCCTCCAACCCCCGGCTTGCACGTGCACTGACCACCAAGAGGGGCGCAATCGCATTGACCATTTTCACACGTGGTATCAAGCGTTCCAACAGGGCTGCATTGACATGCTGCAAAATATATCATTTGACTGAGGAGACGAAATAGTTCAGAATGGTTTTAACGAAAGCTTATGAAAAAGCCAACATCATCATCAGAAAAATACAAATCCCCGTTGAAATACCTTACAAAAGTGTTCGACTGTTATTAAGAAAATGATCCTAACAACGCAAATAAAGGGATTCAAGTGGAATATTAATTATACATTAGGAAGAAAGTACCGCAACAACTGATTTTTAACCCCCATAAAGCCATTGACATTAATGTTATAATCATGCTTGTCTGTATGGTTGCTTTGACCCTTGATACTATGAAACATATGAAGTGTTGCAATATTTTGTCCATGTGTATATAAGACAACAGCCATGATTTTCAATTTAATTCAGTTCGTTAGAGTCGATAATTTCACTTTATCCCGCTTCATAATAAGTAGGGCAGATAGTATTTGGATGCACGAACCAATCAGACTGGGTGAGTCAGTGAATTTGGATCAACGCTTTTGGGGACAGTATTTCAATGTATCCCGAGAGTGGTCCTAAAGCCGGAAGTGAAGCCTAGGGGCACAATCATAATCCGGTGAATCTAAGATTCGAACAATCGACACCGTGGGTTTCTGGCATGTCTAGGGAACGCATGCTTGGCTCCTTAGAGAGCTGGGTCGGCCGTGCTCCTGGTATCGGCTGTAAATCTGTCTGTCGGAGTAGAAGTCAGATTCAGAAGCCAGCACCTACCTTTCCCTTCCTTGTAGACCTCTGCCGACACGGTGTACAACACCTTACTGCACGGGGTGTCTCTGATGGCGGTCTCGCGAGACAATAGCGCTGCCAACTGACCCATGCAGGTGCTCGTGTATTGTGAGGCAGCGGAGCCTGGGGAGAATATATCACAACATGAGAATGATATCCTGGCGAATAGTGAGACATCAGAGTCTGTGGAAGAATATATCAGAACATGAGAATGATATCCAAGCGAATAGTGAAACAGCGGAGCCTGTGGAAGAAAATATCAGAACATGAGAATGATATCTTGGCGAACAGTGAAACAGCGGAGCCTGTGGAAGAAAATATCAGAACATGAGAATGATATCCTGGCGAATAGTGAAACAGAGGAGCCTGTGGAGAATATATCACAACATGAGAATAATATCCTGGCGAATAGTGAGACATCAGATCCTGTGGAAGAATATATCAACATGAGAATGATATCCTGGCGAATAGTGAAACAGAGGAGCCTGTGGAAGAATATATCAGAACATGAGAATGATATCCTGGCGAATAGTGCAATAAAGCTGCTGTCTGGAGTCAGTATTACAACTATAGCATGGCACCAATAATTATGATAGGTAATATCAGACATAATCAATTCTATACAGTCATGACATATTGTTTACAGTCATGAACAGGTATGAACTAATCATGAACTATAACTGACAAGTATGCATTATTGTTGACACACTACGAACTAGTTGTCTACAGGTATGTACTATTGTCTACAGGTATGTACTATTGTCTACAGGTATGTACTATTGTCTACAGGTATGTACTCTTGTTTATAGGTATGTACTATTGTCTACAGGTATGTACTATTGTCTACAGGTATGTACTATTGTCTACAGGTATGTACTCTTGTTTATAGGTATGTACTATTGTACTATTGTCTACAGGTAAGTCTACAGGTATTTAATATTGTCTACAGGTATGTACTATTGTTTACAGGTATGTACTATTGTTTACAGGTATGTACTATTGCTTATAGGTATGTACTATTGTCTACAGGTATGTACTATTGTCTACAGGTATGTACTATTGTCTACAGGTATGTACTCTTGTTTATAGGTATGTACTATTGTCTACAGGTATGTACTATTGTCTACAAGTATGTACTATTGTTTATAGGTATGACCCATTGTATGCAGACAAGAACTATTGTATTGCAGACAAGAACTATTGTATGCAGACAAGAACTATTGTATTGCAGACAAGAACTATTGTATGCAGACAAGAACTATTGTATTGCAGACAAGAAGTATTGTATTGCAGACAGGAACTATTGTATTGCAGACAAGAATTATTGTATGCAGACAAGAACTATTGTATGCAGACAAGAACAATTGTATTGCAGACAAGAACTATTGTATGCAGACAAGAACTATTGTATGCAGACAAGAACTATTGTATTGCAGACAAGAACTATTGTATTGCAGACAGGAACTATTGTATTGCAGACAAGAACTATTGTATTGCAGACAAGAACTATTGTATGCAGACAAGAACTATTGTATTGCAGACAAGAACTATTGTATGCAGACAAGAACTATTGTATTGCAGACAAGAACTATTGTATTGCAGACAAGAACTATTGTATTGCAGACAAGAACTATTGTATTGCAGACAAGAACTATTGTAGGCAGACAAGAACTATTGTATTGCAGACAAGAACTATTGTATGCAGACAAGAACTATTGTATTGCAGACAAGAACTATTGTATTGCAGACAAGAACTATTGTATTGCAGACAAGAACTATTGTATGCAGACAAGAACTATTGTATTGCAGACAAGAAGTATTGTATTGCAGACAGGAACTATTGTATTGCAGACAAGAAGTATTGTATTGCAGACAGGAACTATTGTATGCAGACAAGAACTATTGTATTGCAGACAAGAAGTATTGTATTGCAGACAGGAACTATTGTATTGCAGACAAGAAGTATTGTATTGCAGACAGGAACTATTGTATTGCAGACAAGAAGTATTGTATTGCAGACAGGAACTATTGTATTGCAGACAAGAAGTATTGTATTGCAGACAGGAACTATTGTATTGCAGACAAGAAGTATTGTATTGCAGACAGGAACTATTGTATTGCAGACAAGAAGTATTGTATTGCAGACAGGAACTATTGTATTGCAGACAAGAAGTATTGTATTGCAGACAGGAACTATTGTATTGCAGACAGGAACTATTGTATTGCAGACAAGAAGTATTGTATTGCGGACAGGAACTATTGTATTGCAGACAAGAAGTATTGTATTGCAGACAGGAACTATTGTATTGCAGACAAGAAGTATTGTATTGCAGACAGGAACTATTGTATTGCAGACAAGAAGTATTGTATTGCAGACAGGAACTATTGTATTGCAGACAGGAAGTATTGTATTGCAGACAGGAAGTATTGTATTGCAGACAGGAACTATTGTATTGCAGACAGGACATGTTTTTACAGGGTGAACTTTTGTTTTGTTTGTTTGTTGTTTAACGCTGCATCTGGACCAGACATTCCAGTGATCAACAGCATGAGCATCGTTCTACGCAATTGGGATACAATGACATGTGTCAACAAGTCAGGGAGCCTGACCACCCGATTACAGGGTAAACTACTGTTAATAGGCATGAAATATTCAAAGTACGAACAACATGTACAGATGTGCACTATTGCTTTCAAGCTATGACCATCGTTTACATGTTTTACCTATTTTTGACGAGTTACGACCTATTGCTTATTGTTACAGAGAACTATTGCTTATTGGTATATAGGCCAATGGCCTTCATACATACAAATAAACAACTTGACTTAACTACAGATGAATAGATGTTGGTATTGGGAACCATAACGACTTACTACTTTCTGCCGTGATTCTGAACGCTTGTGCGCTGTCGTTGAGGGAGGGCAGAAAGATGAGGGAGTCGATGAGGGTGGGGTCAGTGCCGTTCACGTGGTCTGGGAGAGTCAGCTTCAGGGTGTAAGCGCATCTCCTGTCAATGGTCACGGGTGGGCTTGCCATCACTGCAGTGGACTGACCTGCAATAGTGACGATAGAGTGAATAAGGTACGATTTAACATTGACTGGAATGGCCAGACAGTGTGTACTTAGTGAGGTGGGTTGAACAGTATTTAAATGATACAATTGCGTGCCAGACAGTTTAAATCACGGAGCATTTTTAAGATAGGAAGTCGTAAAGACAGAAGGAGCTCTGTCAACTTGAATCTCTTTTAGTGTCTGGCAAAGAAACGTTGACATTTCCAATGGCCCTTTACTTATTTTCCTTGTCTTTAATCTGTAAATTTAAAGTATGTTTAGGGTGAAAAAGCCGTAAAATATTAGTTTTGTAATATAATAACAAAAGCAAAGACTATTCATGTGAATAAATATCCAAAGGCCAAATATAAGAACCGATGACGGATTATTATTATTATTACCGATCCAAATTGGTATTTTCTTGTCGTTTTGCGGACGTTCCATCTTCTATAAGCATATACCAATGACTTCTTTGATTAGCATTCTAGAACCTGGGTAAATGAAGGATGACGACTATTTTTATGGATATACAACTTCTTTATTCTGTATAGGCGATGTTTCGACATATACTGAGTCAAAAAAGAAACTTCACATTCTTTCTTCAGGGCACTATAAAAGAACAAGAGATGGTAAGATGGTTAAATTGTTATTATTTCATTGCTGGGATCTGTGTGATGTACCCGATACACTGACAGTGCCATAATCAGTTCCATTAGGCTACACCGCCGTTCCAAAACATGGGTATACAGAATGTCAAGTCACAAGAATAAAAATGTGAAATTTCTCAGTTCAATATCGTGTATGGCCGCCCCGAGCATTCACCACTGCCAAACACCGTCTCCTCATCGACTGCCTGATGCTTGTGAACACGTGGTTGGGGATTCTGCGCCATTGCTCTTGCAAGGCAGCGCCAAGTTCCTGCAAATTCTGAGGTTGGTTCCTAAGACCACGAAGCCTTCTCCCAAGTGCATCCCAAACGTGCTCTATTGGATTAAGGTCAGGGGACCTCGATGGCCAGTCCATGACGTTGATTCCAGCGTTTTAAAGGAAATTTCGTGTCAACATCGCGGTATGCGGCCGAGCATTATCATGCTGGAACTGTAGACCTTGGCCATGAGCCGCCATGAAAGGAACGAGTTCAGGGGTGAGCACCTGGTCGCGGTAAGCAGCAGCTGTGAGGTTTTCACGGATGACCAGTAGTCGGGAACGGTTATTCCCACAGAAAGCACCCCACACCATGCAACTTCCGCCCCCGAATCTGTTGACTTCCTCTACACAACATTGGGCATACCGTTCACGACGTCGTCTCCAGACTCTATGCCTGCCGTCCGCGAATCTGAGGGTAAACCTGGATTCATCGCTAAAGACGACTCGATTCCAGTCTCTCTGGGTCGATCGGAGGTGACGTTGGGCCCACAGCAGACGTTGACGTTGATGAAACGGCGTCAATATTGGCCCACGATATGGACGTCGAGAATGGAGATTGGCATCCCGCAACCGATTTCGAATGGTCTGTGAGGACAGTCGACCTCTAAACACCTCAGCCCTGGTTCGTGTAGCCGGCAGAAATCTGTCACGTAGGTGACCTAGGACCTGATTTGGCACTAACGTCATTTGCACGACGAATGGATGGGTTTGAGTGGGTTTTGCTATCGTTTTTCTAGAGTCGAAAGATAGGGATCCCATTTCGGATACATAGATGTATCATCAGAGAAAAAATTATTCATTATTTTTCAAATTACATTTTGTGAAGTTTCTTTTTTTACTCAGTGACTCTAATGTCGTATTCAAGCAAGTGGATCACTTGCTTGACAACGACGTTAGAATCTATGTCGAAACGTCGCCTATACATCACTTGCTTGACAACGACATTAGAATCTATGTCAAACGTCGCCTATACAGAACAAAGAAGTTGTATATCCATAAAAATAGTCCTCATCCTTCATGTACCAATAATAGAGAGAATAGGTTACATTCGATGAAATTTGCGGTATCATTATTGGCTAAGATAAAGATGCGAACGATATTTTGTTAATATGGCCGCTCAATTGCATTTATTATGTGACAATGGCGAGTTGACACATATCTCTGTTGTTAGTCGGGTGTCTTTGTTAACATTTTGCCAATGTGGCGACGACTTTCGAGTCAAGAATATTTTTTTTCTTCATGAACAATGGGCGTCATGTTCGTGACGTACATGTATATATTTATACATCAATAATGGAAATACCAGAAACCAGAGTCAGTCGTTGTACGAGCAGTTTTCAATGCAGATTGAATCATCTGGCAGCTGTGATTGGACGATTTGAGTCATATTTTGGAGTTTATTCAAATTACTGCAGTTCCATCGAGTAAAGAAAGTTGACATGTTTTATTCAATATTTACTGATGTCATTTTAACACAATAACTTATGCTGAATATAACCATATATGTCTCAGTTGGTGACATTTTGTGCTGAACCGTGGTTGGTCTCTTTTGTTTCCGGCACTCGGAAAACGAGCTGGTTAACAAAGTATAGGGTTGTTTTGTTTTGCTGAATTTAAGGCCAGACAGAGCACACGTGTACAAGTCAGAGCTGTTGGGGGGCTTACGGTAGTTAGTATTTTTTTTAAATAATACGTCATTCCAGAAGTCAGTGGGAAGATATTTGGTTTCGTGTAACCATAATGTCGTGTCCGCCATGTTTGTTTGTGTCGAGGCAGTCATGGCCGGGTCAGGGTAGCGTCAGCGCAGCATACCCAGGAAACCAGGCTTCATCCCGTGTACAACACGAGTTCTCTCCTTGTGATGAAAACGCGATATCCACTCAGATTGCGTTTCGAAAAGATTCGAGATTTCTTTCCTGGTATACCAACATATAAATACCACATATCGACCTCACAATACAAGGGCTGAGCCCCCACGGAGATCCCCAGTCTCACTCACCAGGTTCGAGGTTCATTGTTAAGGTAGCGACAGGTCCAAACGTTATTCCACATGATCCTGCCGTTATCTGCTGTGTATTTCCGGTGGCAGTGAGTTCCAGTCTGGCACCAACTCGCGCCGTCACGCCTCCCAGAGAATATCGAACGCCGACTTGGTATGGCCTGAAATTTAAAGAGCAGAACTATATATAATCTCCAGCGCCAGGAACCTGACCTCATCCAGTGCCACCTTGGACCTAGAACATGTTCGCAGATTGTCCGCCTTGGTCATGTAAACCTTTGCAGAGTGGATGAGAAGATTCGCAGACAGGATGAAGTCAAAGATTTGCCACGAATATCATGGTTAGCTCTTTAGCGCCATTACCAAATATTACCATTATCAAAACATTTACTGTCGGCATCATGCCGAAGAAGAACATGAAACTGGCACGAGGGTTGGGTTTGTGTTTTAGCTTTTAGCAATATTCCAGCAATATCACTGCGGGGACACCAGAAATAGGCGCCACACATGCTGTCATATTGCTACTGCTACTACTACTACTACTACTACTACTACTACTACTACTACTACTACTATTACTACTACTACTACTACACAAGATGGTACCTACGAATGCCACATTAACCTGCATTCTAAACAACCACTGTTTGATGATAATATACGCGTGTATCAAAAACTTACCATGTGACGTTGAACTGCTCATTAACGCCTAGGTATTTGAATTCCACGACCTTTTCGCCGCTTGGCGGACAGGTGGCGAAGGTGGTTCCATCAAATGGTTTGAGGGGAGTCCACAGATCCCCATCTATGCTGCACGTGCCCCCCTCTGGCTGGAGAATGAACTCGTCCAGAGATGGAACGAAGAAGTAACGTTCGGCCTGCTCACACTTTGTGCCGGTGACATGGGGGACACAAGTACACATTCCAAAATCATCACATGACATCGTCGTCGACCCACCGGGATCACAAGCACAACTTCGACATTCCTGAAACAAATGGTACAATTTAAGCTTTTTCACCAAGATCACTTTCTTTGTAAGACCATTTTCTACCCAAAGGTAATAGTAAATGTAATCAGGATTGTCCATATCATATGATTGTTCATAAATAAAACTATTCTTATCAGTGTAGATATTAAGCATACGTGTCCACACAACTTTTAAGCGTATGTGTAATGATTATTAGACATAATGAATAAATTCCCTCTTGATTCATAGTCTCTTGATGCATTTATAAATATTCTCGCAATATCAAACCGAGGAATATAAGTGGATCAAATGGCTAGAGCTGCCAACGACTAGGAAACAGCTCTTTACACAATACGTGAATAACAACATGGTGGATGGAAAGTTCTGAACTCGTAGTTTCTACAGTTTGTCCTCGCCAATTATGCCAAGATGCAAAAGATTTCTGATAATTATATGTGCTCATTCTGGGAAAATACAAAATATTTAACAAACATTTTAAAACCCAAGACTTTTTGTTTTAACATCTTGAAGGCCATGTATTTAACATTTATAACCAAAACTCTAGTATTATAATCACAAAACGTTGTTTGAGCGATTTCTTCAATCAGACAATGGGTGTTATTGTTTTCTATGGCCAAGAAACACACTCGACATGTCATGATCATGATTGGTGGTGGTGTATGTTCTCCCGCCATCTGACGTCACTACTTACCTCACTGGAGAGGGCTGGAAACTGAAAGTAGCCGGCTTTACATTTGTCACAGGGTCGCCCCTCGATTGACGTTTTGCAGGGGCACTGGCCGTTACTGCTGTCACAGATGTTGCTGTTGTTTTGTGTCCCCTTCGTGTTGCAGGCACAAGCTGAAATCATCACAAAATAGCGTGTTAATTATCAGTAGCGTTTGCTTTTGCTGCCGCAGCATATGAAATCATTACATGATGAAATTTTAATATTTGTCTATATCGTTCTCTCGAGTGTCATCAGCAGAGTTGAAATCATCACCTGATAAAATGATATATTTTGTTTATGATCAATCAGTGTTTTGTTCACGGTAAATCCTTTTTTTGTTGGATCCTTACGTTTACAGGTGCCCGGAGATTCGGCCAGCAAGAGGCCGTAGTACTGGGGCTGGCACTGGTCACAGCGACGACCGGTCACGTTGGCCTTGCACGTGCACTGACCGATGTTCGGCTGGGTTCTGTTTTTCTGACACTTTGTGTCAGCAGGGTTCAACAGACCGTCGCGCTCACAGTCGCACGCTGTAATTAGAGAAACCCGTGAACTATACATGTGTCCATATACCTACTATACCTGTGTCCATATACCCACTATACCTGTGTCCATATACCCACAATGCCTGTGTCCATATACCTACTATACCCGTGTCCATATACCCACTATACCTGTGTCCATATACCCACAATGCCTGTGTCCATATACCTACTATACCTGTGTCCATATACCCACTATACCCACTGTGTCCATATACCCACTATACCCGTGTCCATATACCTACTATACCTGTGTCCATATACCCACTATACCCGTGTCCATATACCCACTATACCCGTGTCCATATACCCATTATACCCGTGTCCATATACCCACTATAACTGTGTCCATATACCCATTATACCCGTGTCCATATAATTACAGTACCCCTCTCCATACATCAGCCGTACCGCGTATACCCACTGTCACAGGCATAATTTATTCAATACACCTTCTGTAACTACCTACTACTTACGTGGGCAGACGTTGGTGTCGTTTAGGGGTAGAGCAACATTTGGGTAGAAGGTGTCCAGGCATTCCTCACACATCATTCCCGTCGTGTTGTGGAGGCAGTTGTCGCATTTGCCGTAGTTCAGCGTAGAGTTGAAGGTGCAGCTGAGGGCGTGGTCGTTACATTCACATTCTGATGGTAAACCGGCGTTCGTTAGTACTGAACCAACAACTTGTGGTGTTCCAATTAATTGAACTAAGCGAAGACTGGTCGCAGTGGCCAAAAGACCAAGTAATCGATCACATTTTCTCATAATCGAACACAAACTATTTTGAAAGACTTTTTGGAATGAAAACTAGTTCTAAAAGGTTGTTTTTGTCTGTTATTAAATATACATTTCATAAGCACTACCAGCTCGCCTGGCTGCTACAGTTTAGGCTGTAATCAACTAATAATCAGTTATGACATTACAACCAATTCCCGACACTAACCGCCAGCATATGGCTGGAATAGTGCAGAGTGCGGCGTTAAACAACCAACTTAACCAAAGACAGACAGGTGCCAGAATTAGGCTGAAAGGACTCACACGCACAATATCATATTCAATTTCAAACACCGTGTAAAGTTACTTTTATTATCTTTCACTTCTATTGTATTCATTTATACATATTATTCAAAAGATATTCCTATTCTTAAACGACTTAAGGCTATAGGGCAAGGGTTTACAGTTTGCATTGGTTTACTGATGCACAGACAAAACAAAGACAGTGTGTTTTATACTGCCGGCTCTACAAAATACTTTGACAATTAAAACAATCCAGGTGTTTATAAATGAAGAATGTTTGCCAACGATTATTCTTCACTGTTTTCAATTCTTTCTCACCTTACGAGGGGAGGTGAGGTGAAATTGGGTTTTACGTCGTGCTTGAGAATATTTCGCTTATATGACGACGTGCATGCGTGTGTATGTGTATGTGCGGCTGCTTGTACTAGACCAGACTTAAGCTGGTTTTATAGTGCTAGCCCACTGAGATACCATGCCGCAGTGAAGCATGAATACCCCACTCAGACACATTATACTGACTCCGAGCCGACAAGTCCTTGTTGTACCCATTAATGCCGAGCGCCAGGCAGGGACCAACAAGTACCATATTTTAACGTCTTTTGGTATGACGCGGTCGGGCATCGAACCCGCGACCTTCCGCTCTCCGGGCGGACGCTCTAAGCACTACACCACGGAGGCGGTCCTCACCTTACGAACTAAAGTGATAAGTTAGTGATCATATTAAGTGATGATATATTTAAAAACCCTGTGCAACATTTTTTATACCTTGATATTGGTGGAATGTTGCTAAAAAGCGACGTTGAGCTAAACTGACTCACTTTCAAGAAAAGTGTTGACAGACAATTTACTGCTGTTGAAACTGGTCTCAAGCATGTACTTACTTTCACACGCATTCGCAGTGCCTACTCGTGCTGGAAGGAAGCTGCCCTCCCGCCATGGTTTGTTGTTATAGAGAGGCAAACATCGTTCGCAGTCCTTCCCGGCTGTGTTGTGCTGACACTCACAGACGGTGTCGCCGTTCAGGGTGGACATGCAGGAGGCCGCGTGCAAGTTGCAGGAACAACTGGCGATGAAAACAAAATAGTATTATGCCAATCAGATTTCGTCATCAAGTTATTTCAAGACATACTGTCAAACCCCTCAAGCCGGTCACATTAGGTTTCCAATACCTCCAAGACAGATTCACCATCATTCCAATGTTTGGATGAGGTATAGGTAGCAGCACCAATGGTAAACCCGCTCTTCCGGTATCACTAGACTGACATTTAGTACCAGAAATAAAATCATCTTAAATATAAATTTGTATATAACAGAAACATACAAAATTACACAAGGAACACAGACGAATAAAATTTCCCTATACATTTAGTTCTGTGTATTTTAAAACATATATTCGGTGGATATTTCGGGCTCAGTTCTGGTTTGGAGATTTAAAGTACAAATGTCAGTAATATATTGTTTAACGACAGGTTCTTTGGAATACTTGCGTCGCGTCACTTTTGAGATGTGTACATTCTAGAGAACCTTTTATAGAAAAACGCAAATATTAGAATTCCAGTCTGAAAACTACAAATGTTAGCTTTCGACATTCTTCTTCATCCATTGGTGTACGAGATGACACTAATGTACTAAACCAATACAGACTCCATTATCTCTAAAAGCGCACGTAAAATCTCCAAATCATCATCATCATGACTTGTTCTTTGTGTGGCAATTTGGAGTCGGTGTGATCAACAAGGGGGATAGTGCCGTGGATATACAACTTCTTAATTTAATTTACAATATATGCGACTTTAGCCTCTACATTGAAACGTCGCATATATTGTTATAAAGAAGTTGTATACATAGAACTATCCCGCTTGTTCATCATCATCATCATCATCATCATCATCATCATCACCATCACCATCATCATCGTCGTCGTCGTCGTCGTCTTCGTCGTCGTCACCCGTGAAGATCTGGGTTAAAATTTATCTCCAGTAACACATGCTAGTCGTAAGAGGCGACTAACGGGATCGGGTGGTCAGGCTCGCTGATCTGGTTGACACATGTCAGCGTATCCTTATTCGGTAGATCGATGCTCATGCTGTTGATCACTGGATTATCTGGTCCAGATAACTTACTGATCGCCGCCATATAGCTGGATTATTGCTGAGTGCTCACTCACTCATCATCATTATCATTATCATCATAGGGGGCGGCCGCCATATAGCTGGAATCTTGCTGAGTGCGGCGTAAAACTAAACTACCTCACTCACTCATAGGGGGCAGTGGGGTAGCCTGGTGGTTAACGTGTACGCTCGTCACGCCGAAGGCCCAGGTTCGATGCTCCACATGGGTATATTGTGTGAAGCCCATTTCTGGTGTCCCCCGCCATGATATTGATGGAATATTTGTAAAAGCGGCGTAAAACTAAACTCACTCATTTATCATCATCATCATCGGTGTATACTCACGTTGCCCTGACGGTAATGTCCGAGATTGCATAGTAGTATCGGAGGAAGTCGATCATGTTTCTACTTGCTTCCTTGTAATCAGTGGCGGGGTATAACAGTAGTATACGAATGTCTGTGAACTCGAAGAATCTCTTGATATTCTCCAGCTCAGCATAATACATTGCATCGTCCGGGGTCTTAACCTTAATCCTTTCACCCGGACCTGGAAAGTCGACCTTCCCGCCAGGCTTCGGGTTTCCGGTGTCTTTGCTGTACGCTTCCGCACAGATCACCGCCGTCAAGTTGTCAGCGCCGATAGCGGTTGGGGATGTTGGGGTACTCCTTGCCACAGTCTCTGGCATAGTACTGGAGAGGCACCCAAGTGGCACCATTGTCCATAGACTTGTAAATGACCATCTCCTGGGGACGTCCAGAGTTGAAGATCAAGGTCAAATTGGCCGCCATTCGGTACGTCTTGTTGAAGGACAAGGTGACGTTGACCGGGTACTGGTGGTCAGGGAACGTAGATTCGTACTGGCCAATTGACCATGTTTTTGACTGCCACCATGTATTGGGTTGGACGTCAATCATCATCTCCTTCGTGTGTTGAGCTGTTGTACAGTTTTGAGGGGTGACCTGTTGGAAAATCACACACAACTCATCAGATATTGTCATTAATCACGGAATCACAAATACAGTAACATAGTACAATACAGAATTCATCACATGTAACATTCCTACATTATTTAAACATACACAATCAGACAAAGCAAAAGAACATGATGAATTAATGAATATACTCTGTTCGTCGAATTATTAACATATATATCTCCCTCAACCATTTCCTCAACGTGTTTAAAGCAATATAAAGAATACTGATTTCAATATGTTTTCTGTTTCACATCTTAAACCATGTTTTGGACTACTATTCGATTACATCTCTTCTGAATTTGATAAACAATAAAGGGTGGTGGGGTAGCCTAGTGGTTAAAGCGTTCGCTCGTCACGCCGAAGACCAGGGTTCGATTCCCCACATGGGTACTAATGTGAAGCACATTTCTGTCTCCCGCCGTGATGTTGCTGGAATATTGCTAAAAGCTGCGTAAAACAAAACTCACTCACTACTACTCATTCGCCAATTCTGACGTTACTACGCTTAAAAACATCGTTCTGGTCAGTGAGCGATGAAAATACGTTTGTACACATGCACAAGTTCATCATACATGCAAGTCATATTTAAATCAAAATTGTTAATTGGCATTCAAACATAGCAATACTATTTACAACATTTTAAAACACACCAAGCTGGGGTAAGCAGGGTCACCTAGGGTCATTGGGTCTTGAGCTACGTCATCTCTCAACAAGATATACGTCATCACTTCAGCTACTGGTGGTTGGATGCAACACTGACCAATATTAAAAATGTTAAAAAATGAGTGGGCCTAAACATACTGTTTGACAACAGGTTCAGTTCCCCTGGGTACAATGTGTGAAGTCCACTCTTGGCGCCTCCCCGCTGTAATATTGCTAAAAGCGGCGTAAAACCAGACTCACTCACTAACTCCATGGTAGTTAGTGCTTGTGCTTGAGATCCTGAGCGAACCATGACGGTTATGTCCCTTTGCAGGTATGTAAAAGTGGTGAAGCAGTAATTAACAGCCCGGATTAAAGAATTTTGTACCTAAACCGTAGTCCTCATAAGAAATACAATGTATAACATTTGACTTTTTTGTACTGTAAAGTACCTCAAACTATTAAGTACTACGTTTAACCTTCGTAAAAACAATTAAGCGCTATTGTGTGGCTCGTGGGTTCAAAACTTCGCTTTTTACACTTAATTCGAACTTAATCCCAACGTATCTTGGAATCTATCTGTTTTGACTATGCTGGAATATTGCTAAATGCAGCATAAAATACTGTCTTCTTAATACTTTCCCCCGCCACATGAGCATGTATCGAATGAACTTGGAACATGTTAAAGCCGATATTGAAGAATAGCAGTAAATGTTAGGACAGTTATCTGTCTTCAAGGACAACAGGTGTTGAATGTGAAATTTCAAAATTAATGCTTTGGATCAGTAGTGTGTAATACCTCCATGATTTGTCCATGTCTTGCCTTCAGTCTCCCAGTTGTGATTACAAGGAACGTTAGACTAAGTTCATACAGAGACAAGGAATAAAATTAAGTTAATAAAGATCGATCGACCTTAATGCATGTTGCCCATACACCTGTTATTAAAAATCACTTTCCTTTTTCACAATGATGGTTTGTGGTTTTGTGATATCAGTGATTTCGACTTGGTATCGTTTCTTTTGCCCGTTAGTTTATGTTTTGGTGTTTTACAGATATTCATGGTCTTTGCCGTCAATGCTTATAATTACCTTTGCTCAGATATTTGGAATAAAAATTTATATTTCATAATTGCCTACGTTTTTGAAGAGTGTATATGTGAATACAGATTTAGGCTGGCGCTAGAATCTTAACATCTCTCAAGAGTGACAGTGTTACGGCTATACGGCGGCGTAAATAACCTGATTCTTTTTCAGAAATAATATTACAAAATTTGGAATATACTTTTTAAATCACTAAGGTTGATTTCGTATTTTTGTCTGCATTAATATACTCAACTTGGAATAAAATGTATTAAATGTGATGGGATTCATTCAAAGAATTTTCCTAGTATGTTTACTTATTTTCAAAGTATTCTACTGATTGATAAAAAACATAGTTCAACAAAGAAAAACATTCATTATTCATCACCTGTTAACGAGAGAGAGAGAGAGAGAGAGAGAGAGAGAGAGAGAGAGAGAGAGAGAGAGAGAGAGAGAGAGAGAGTATCCACACCCTTTTTTCATTATAAATATCGTGTTCCAAGGACTACAACAACCTTTTGTAGAACAAGTTCTTGTACGGTTGTATTTTAAATTTTCGAAGGTAATATTTTGGTTTCAAGTGTTTCATATATATGTCACCTGTATCTAGGATCCAGTGTTATAACCAAAAAACTCAAGACTGTGTGAAATGTGTTCCTGTAACTATGTAGAAAATGAGTACCACTTTTTACTGATTTGTACTGCCTATGATGATCTACGTAAACGTTTTATCCCTGTCGATGTTTTCACCCATCCAACTTTGTGTAAATTTAATCGACTGATGAGTAATGCTACTCCTCTTGTTTTAAGAAATCTTGCCATGTTTATCTTCTATGCTAACAATCGTCGTCGCTACAGCTTGAAGGCTGCCAATGTATAACCTTGTACCATGGGCCGATGGCCTACATCCACATGAATAAAGACTATATATATATCTTCAAGCCATATTTGTAGAAGTGTGCTTGTGTACAATGTTCTTGCCTATATATATTGTTAGGCTTTTTTTAATAGTATGGAAGCGGCTTGTAAATCTCCACTACTTGTACGTTTAAACAGCTTTCGTTATTAACGATAACAGAATCTACTGAATAACATATCAAATTACAACTTCTACCGGGTTATAAATTTCAATGTTCGTCATATGTCGCCTCCTTTGAAATCAATGGTATTTCAATGATACCACTTCCGTTCAATTAAATTATTGTCCGTCAGCGCACGTTCAACAAGTACCCAGTGAACACCTGTCGCCTTGCGTGTTTCACTGGTCAATACTCTGTACGCCTCTCCATTGTAGGAATAAGCGGTGACAATACGAATATATTCAATAGCAAACTAGCGCGGAAATTTATATCTGAGCATAACACTCTGATCACGAGCTGAGGGATGAATGCGTCAATGCAGGATAATTACTGACACATCAATCCAGATACAGGGTGATGTTACAGATACGACTGAGAGAGAGAGAGAGAGAGAGAGAGAGGAGAATGGAGGAGACTGAGAGCGGGAGAGGAAGGGATAGAGAGCGGGGAGAAAGAGGGGAGAGACAGAGATGGGAGAGACAGAGGGGAGACACATAGATTGTGGATTGAAAGAATTGGGGAGTGTGAAGATTAGAGAAAGAGTGTGTGAGTTTGATTTTACGCCGCGTTTAGCAATATTCCAGCAATATCACGGCGGGGGACACCAGAAATGGGCTTCACACAATGTACCCATGTGGGTAATCGAACCCGGGCCTTCGGCGTGACGAGCCAACGCTTTACCCACTAGGCTACCCCACCGCCCCAGATGAGAGAAAGAGAGAGACCGTACTTAAATACAATTTACCTACAACGATATACAGTTATTGTCTCAGTAGTTTCCGAGCATTCCCTTACTTCATGCGGACTGTTAAACTCTGGCCGCTACGTTCACCTTAGCCCTCAACCCACTTTGATAGTTGATCGCGTGTTCTTTTTTACTTCTTTTCTCAGACATTTCTTATGAATATGAGTTGTAGCTCATATCAACGCAATGTCGCATGTAATTAAAGTTCTAAGATGCCTAGCGGTTAGAACAATCGAAAAAAACAAACATTATCAGACAATAAAGGTATAGTTTTTTGATGACGTAACAATTGAATGACGTTATCCTGTCATTGCGCCATTCTAGTCTGCCCCCTCGTAATCGTGCCATTTTACATTACGTCACAATGTAAGCGACGTCACGATGCATGTCAGTTGTCATCGCCTCGTACGGCCTCCTACAGTAAACAACTCCGTTGCATCACGTTTCTAGGTTTGCAGTTGCTTCACGCAGCTAACAACACTGGTGGAAACATTACGTTTATGTTTTACGACGGTTAAAATGTGTCAATTCGACTCACAAGTTTTCAGCGACACGGTAACGTTCGCAATGTTTACATTCCCACAATGCAATCGTGGAATGTCGCTTGACCATGCAGCTTCATCTGGATATACTGATCTAAACTTACGTTGGTAGTAGAAATGCGACGTTCATATTGCCCCATATGGTTTACGTTAATGACAGATGTAATTAAAATAATTCAGAGAAGATATTTAATCCGAACGTAAACCGTCATCAAACTGCTATCATTTGTTTTTTTCTGGTAACTTTCGTCTTAACGTAGGGGGGCAGACATATCAATAGAACAGCGCGCCAGTTAGCCCTGTGCGAGCATTCTTAATTTAGGTCACCGACACCGTCGTTTGTTTTCTGCCTTAAATTAATCGTAATTATCCTTAGAAAGTATTACATTTGGCATCTTAGAAAAGAACTGCAGTTCGCTCTACCACTATGTATAGTGTAATAAAGCACACTTTCGCCCTGAACTATTATAACGTTAAAGCACTCGGACGCAAGCGTCCTCGTACTTTAACTAAACTGTTTATAATAGTTCAGGGCAAAAGTGTGCTTTATTACACTATACATGGTGGTAGAGCGAACTGTATTTCTTAAATGATGTTATCTATTGTTAATGACGTCACATCCTGTTATTTCTAGACTTGCAGAACTCACGCGACCGAAAAAGAATAATGCATCAACTACATTACACTTATAATTATGGGTCATATATCTCCCGCCATTGTTCAGAATTTAAAACTAAATCACTCCGTCAGATA